GAACGGTTCGAAACCTACTGTCATACTGACTGATAAAATGAAGGAATGGTGAGTATGCGGTTCTTTTGCTAAACGAATGCATGTTACCTGCCGTAGTCTCGGAGCCGCCGAGAAGTATAATTTGTGCCTGGCAGAGACGGAGATTGGTGTCGTATCGTTCGGGAGAGTTCAATGATTCGCATACCTGGGCTAGTACCTCTTGTGGAGTCAGTCCCGCGCCCTCACCAGATTCTTCCGCTTTCACTACAAAATAATTGTAACACTCGCAATCTTGGAAACGAAGGACAAACTCACAGAGCAGGCCCAAACATGATTTGTCCCCCTGGTCAGCGCCACCGGTCTCTTTTTCCTTGCGCGTCCGCAATAGCATCTCCTCACATATTTTGCCAAGGATCAGATTCAGCTTCTTGGAGTACTGTGAGCGAGGCAATGGTAGCTTTAAGATGGAAGGAAAACGTTGTGCGAGGAAAACCAATATGTGGGAAACGCCGGTAAATGAACCAAGCACATGTAGGACGTGCGCGGCGTCGCAGTCACTTCCATCAAGTGCGCCGAAATCATGGGACAGGATGGCTATGCCTGCACTGTCGAGTCTACGTGGTGGGTATTGAATGAGACAGCAGCCTCGTGGAGAGGAAGGTATATACATACGAGATGTGATTCATCCTACACAATATTTGAGTGTACAGGCAGGAAACTTTTTGAAAGAAAATAAATACCATTGTTGAACATCAATTACAGCGCAATCATTTCCACTGTTTGATCCTATCTCAGCGTCCCAAGCGATCACTGCCTGTGACCTGTTACGAGTGCAGTGATGGGCTAGCGATTGGAGACTCACCTTGTGAGCGATATTTTGGAAAATAGAAGTCAAGCTGCGAACAGCAGCTGCGCCAAAGGCAGGGTTGAGGGTCTTGCGCTGCCTAATAAATGAGAGGGAATGACATGGTCCACGTGGATTTAGTTCGGCACGACTTGAAGGTCATAATTGCTACCTTTTGTGACTTTCACCATCGGCCCACATTACTCCTCTTCCCACCTGTCAGTCGCGGAAGCGAGTTATTATCTCGTAGCTGTAGAAGAAGGCAAAAGGACATACTGCTATCTCAATGGAGATCTTGCTGAACGGAGTTTGGTTATAGAACCATGTGTCTCTCGCAAAGAAATGAGAGATTGCTTTTGGGTCCCATAGTATGACCCTGGACTGTCCCAAGACGTGCGGGACCTTGTACACTGGTCCGTACTCTTTAGCCCAATGTTCATATAGTTCAGTGGTAACGGTAGAATCTAGTGCTGTCTTGGCGAAGCCATACACCCAACTTGGACTCTGAGGTCCTCGTATGCGTGTCGTTCGTTGTCTTCGGCGATACACTCGCAGAAGATAGAGGGATGTCAGTATCAGAACTGAGACACATGTCGTTGAGCCTGGCAGGGGCCCTGTGAGGCAGAGGTCCTTGAAGGTAAGCCAAATGTCCCTGCCGCAATAGTTGTTTTGCGACAAATCCATGGTTGTGAACGAGGATCATCATCGTTGAGTAATGGCTGCTCAAATACTACGAGCAGAGCACAGGAAATTGAGGTCCCTGAGGGTCATGCCAACTGCCTTGTCAGCCCATAGTGGGGCCATATCGATATATCCGAATCTAAAGAGGACCGGGATAAGCCTAAAATTGGGATAAATCATTCATTGTAATCTGCCATTATCCAAACTGATTCCAGGATTCGGATGCAGTGCCCTATAATTACCCTTCCAAAATACTTCGGCTCCCAAAAGCTCCGGAAAACGTGCAGTGTAACGCAAGAATGTAGTGTCAAGACCTCGAAAAGCTCGTCAGCTGCAAATTTGCCTGACAGCGGTGGCAGAGCGGACTAGCGGCGATCGAGCAAGCTGAAAAATAATGTGCGCTGGAACCAGATTAGGGTTCCGGGAATTTGCATCAGGCAAATTTGCCCGGCAAATTTACCCAGCAAATTTACTGTGAATGACAGTGTCAATTTCACACCATCAAAAACATAAGTGGGATTCAAAGTAAAATTTTGAATATTCAAGAAACACGCTGAAAGCGCGTTGAAAAGTGTTTGAAAGAATTGCGAAACTTTTCAAAGTGTGAATTTAAACTCCGCTCGATTACCTTAGCCACGCATACAAGTCGACGATTAGGGGTTAGGGTTAGACGCAATGCCTCGAACATCCGTGCGTCAAGACCTCTTACACCAGCTAGATGCTGCTTCGCTGCAAGTTGCATTGGCTCGTATAGAGCATGCTAGACGTAATACAGAAGATTCTGAATCATCCAGCTCCGATAGCTCAATCTTAAGTCCTATGATTATATCCCCAATATCTCCTCTATCAGATATGTCTGATGGTTCAACTAACTCAAGTACTGACTCCTCTGATATTGATCTACACTTTCTGTGCCTTTTGGGAGATATTGTGGTGCTTCATGATAAAATAGAGAGAGCATGAGTCCTCCATTGCCCTGATGAGCCCCCCATGCATGTGCTGCAGATTCAGCTCTTACCTCATTTTGCTGCCCATTGCCCAGATCTCTTTCGCCAGAAATTGTGTGTATACCCTGATGTTTTCGATGACATCCTTGACTATATCAGCGATAGTCCCATTTTCCAAAACCACTCGAACAACTGTCAGCTTCCCATTGCCCTACAGCTTGCAATCTTTCTAAATTGTGCAGGTCACTATGGCAATGCGATAGCTAACGAATATGTCTGCCAATGGGTGGGTGTTAGTGTCGGATCAGTCACTAACTGCACCAATTGTGTCATGATTGCTCTACTCGAGCATCATGATGAATTCATCTTCTTCCCAAGTCTCACTTCGAATGATGCTGCTCATGCCTGAGACTATGTCTCGAAGATCTGCCCACAATGGCGCAACAGTATCTTTGCTATGGACAGCTCTATGGTTAACCTCTGCTATAAGCCGGGGCTCTTCAGAGACACGTTTTACAACTGCAAGTCTGATTTCTCCCTCAATTGCCAGGTATGTCATTTTTCTTCTCAAATTTCAACTGATAGACCTCTTATAGGTAGTGGTAATGCCTCATAACCTCCTTATTGTGGATTATTCAATCGGCCACGTCAGTAGCGCACACAACGCATATGCTTTCCACTCAACACACATTTTTCAAGAGCATGAGATGCTCCTTGGAGACGAGCACTGGATCTGGGCTGATAGTGCTTACCCTTTGGAGACCTGGTGCATTGTGCCATTCAAGAAGCTGTGCAATGGTGCACTGAAGTGGGAGCAAAAAAAATTCAACTTTAATCTGTCTACAGTACGTGTACTATTTTTTTTCGTTGTGTGTACTTACTAATTTTTGGACTTAGGTCCATGTTTGTATCAAGCATGCCTTTGCAGCGCTCAAAGGCTGTTTTCAGTCCCTCTGTGAGCTTTAACATCCGATACAGACTGAGAAGCACCTTGAGTACACTTCATACTGGATTATGTGCTGCTTGATCCTCCACAATATGGTCATCTGGTTTGAGGAATGGCATCGCGCCGACACTACAGATTGGGCCAGGAGGCAGGATGGGTCTGTAGAGGAGCAGCAGGAGGAGGATGTTGGTGAGGATGGAGCCAGCGATACGACATACGCAGGAACTCCTGGACAGGTGTCTTGCAGTTGGTTGATGGACCACTTGCTTGTCACACTTGAGAGGTGGAGGCAGGCAGAGCAGGAGCAGACAAGGCGCAACAGGTAACAGTAGGGACACACAACATGTAAAGCATACTGGACATACAACAATGAGATTAGGAATGTGCATATCAACGTGATGCAAACGAAAGACAAATGTATTATGAATTAAGTGGATGAGGAACCCCCCTTTGATGAAGATGCTTCTTTCAGGTTGATCAACTTGATTTCAAGGCAAAGGGCAGCCGCCTTCTCAGACTGAACTTTGACCTGTGCTTTGAGAAGATGAAGCTCGAGTGCCTTTGCCTCCTGTGACCGCACATGCACTGAAGCAGCTTCATCATGCTCTATTGCACCCTGGTCTCATTGGAATTGGAGCTCCTGCTCTTGGCAATTTTATACTCGGAGGAAGCTGCCTTTGCAGAGTAGATGTAACTCATATCATCAGTAAGAGACCCCACCTGGTCAAGCACATCTGATGTTCCTGATTGAATGCGCCCTGAAAGGTTGTGCTTGTGCTGAGTTTGTCAGCATGAGGGCTGTGAGTCTACATGGGACAATGAAGAGAACGTCCATGCAGATGAGCTGGGGGTATTGGATGATGAGGATGCCATAGATGCTGGCTTTTTTGCATGGGGGGGCCATGATTCATGGCATGACTGACATGAGACTTGCCAGTGAAAGCTGCTTCATGACGATCATACTCAGAGGCATGATTTAATGGCTTGAAGGTAGGGGGTGGTGAGGGGGACATTTGGTATGGGTGTTTGCTGCTTAGACGCTGCTGAGTATCACTCTGATCCCCATAGTTATCTTCCTCCATCTCCAAGTCCTCAGCACCACCATCCCAATTTCCACCACCCATTGTGTAGTCCAACTCTTCAGGCACAGGGTCGTAGTCGTTATACGTAGGGTCATAGTCATCATGTGCAGGGTCATAGGCCTCAGTAAAGGTGGCAGGTGGGGCGCTGTCAGCAGGAGGGTTGGGTATGTTAGAGGTGGTAGTGCGGAGGAGCGTCATCATCCAGGAGGTTGTCGGGATCAAAATCTAAAGCCCTCTCTTTCCCCTTTGGTTGCGAGCATACCACAGAGCTAGAGGCAATTGGTTTGGTTTTAGGTTGGGTGAGCATGTGGAGGCCACCAGCATGATCTTTGCCAGGAACAGAGGAGAAGGTCTTTGGAGAAAAGGCAGGGTTGTCCTTCCACAATGCATCAAGGTCTTCAAACCACTGGAAATTCAGATGCTACTTGTGCTGTGATTTTTCTAGTTTGATAAGATAATTTAAATAATTTAAAACAAAACTTACCTCAGAGATTTACTTTAGCCTGAGGGTCGAGAGGGTTGACACCAGTGCCAGTCATCCCAAACCGAGCAATTGCAGCCTTATACTTCCCCCTGAGACTGAGATTTTGTCATTAGTATGTACAGACGAGATGGGAACAAAGTACATACTATGCAAGGTGATTGGCAATGGCTTGTCCAAACTTTGGCCTATTCTCTTCTACAGCATACTGGGGCCCATATACTGGGTCATTGGCGAAGATATGTTTGGCGATTACAAGGTGGATTTCGGCTTTACTCCTGCCAGAAGGACAATCAGTGCTGATCATCATGTTGCATTGCTTTTTGTTGTCGGAGAAGAGTATGCGACAGTTGGGTGAATGCACAGCAAGCCAGGATACAAGGGGGGTAGTGCGATCATGGTTGACAATTTCCCATCTGATCTTGGAAGGGGCAAAGTTGGTATCATCCCCAGGAGTCGGAGTGGCATCTCCATCATTCAGATCTGCTGCATGTTGATATTGGGGGGGGTCTGGATGGTCAGTACCTCCTCCTCCTCCTCCTCCTCCTCCTCCTCCTCCCCTCCCACAAGTCACAATAGTGGTACCCCTTGCCCTTGCCCTTGCCCTAGCCCTCCCCCTGCCACATGAAGGTTGCAGTGGTTGCAGTGGTTGTGGTGGTTGTGGTGGTGGTTGGAGCTGGCTCATATTCAGACCAGCAGATATTTGAGAAAGCTGTTGGAGGTGTGCTGAACGTCTTACAGCGGATGGGCGTATTGGGGGCATTATTCATGTGTAGCATGAAGTTTTGATTTCAGACTCCGATGCCTGCTGCCAGGGTTCTAAAAAGTTTGCATGTTTGTTAATGCTTTCAGGGAAGTTTCAAGACCAGCTTTGAATCCCACTATAGTGTCAATTTGGATGAATTTGTGTCTGCTGGACCCAGAACACCTGAAAAGCTTAAATATGATATACTGGACGATCCTGACAGCTCAAACACTTGAAAGATTCGCATAGCTTATTGCAGCTCTAGTATCTACATAGTTGAAATAAGGTTTATATTTAGTCAAACACCAATGACAACCAAAATATCGTGAAAATTAAGAACTTGAAAGTCAGTCCCTAATAATGCCAACAGCTTACATGCAGCCAAATCTCAGGGATTGACTGGCTGAACTGCGACTAGTATCTCAAGGCACTACCATCCAACATTCCTGTACCAGATGAATCAAAGTATGATTTTTCCAACTTCAGCCTGGATGCCAATTGGACTGCAGAAATTGGAGAGGCTGCAGCTGTCAACCAAGAGCTAGAGGTCAGGTTTGGCAGTCATGCTGGTGGCCTGAAAATCAGTGGAGCAAGGGCCAGAGACAGAAGCTGTTGTGGATGTTCTCAAAACTTGGATCAAAAAATATCCAGGTGATATTCTCTTAGAGAAGTGGGTGGATGATACTCTCAAAGCTGCATGAGGTCTCATTCTTGCAGCCAGTAACACTGTGAGTCAGTTTTATCTTATTTCTAATAAAATATTGACATACTAGTATATAGTTGCCAGTCCTTGATGTGGAAGTGGAATCTATGAAGCACAAGCCAGTTGATGTCAATAATCATCAACCCGAGAAAAGAAAGAAGGTTCAGAAACTCGATACACATATCCTGTCAACCTTTGATGATGACCTGGTACCTTACTGCTGATGAAGACAAGGATGCTCGGAAAGGTGGTGCTAAGATGCACCCACTACTTCGCAAGATTTTGAAGCCTTGTCATCTGGCAAGCGATCCTACTGCTACCAAACTTGTGCGGTGCATTGCTAGCCATGGGTGTAATGTGACATGGGCATGGCCAAGAGCTCGACAACATATAATGAAGCATGCTGCCCATGAGTGTCCAAGCATGGTGAAAGAGTGGTGGAAAGAAGCAAGAGAGTATATGGCGTCCCAGGCAACAGGAGGGCAAGCAAAGGTTGCAGAAGCAGCATTGGACTTGAGTTCTAACAAACATGTTCTTGCATTGGAGGTAACAGAATGGCCAATGAAGAAAGCAAGAATGGAGTTGCACTGGCATCTGGTTACCAGATGCCAGTATATGTTTTTCATTGATTATCTTTGACCAATTATTTTGATTTTGTGGCACATCTCAAGTAAGGTATATTGAGGAATAGGGTGTGCAAAAATAAATAAATATAAAGTAATGTTAAGTTCTAAACCTTTGCCACATCCCAGGAACTACTAGATACTGAGCAGACTCCTATACCCATTGGTGGGTGTGTAAGAGAGCCCATGGCATCCAGCCACAAACCAAACATGACCAAATGAAATTTCTCCAATGATTTACCGAAACTTTTTGGGCTACTTACATGGCAAGCCACACAATTTGTAAGCCCTATGTCAAAAATGGCAAGTGTTTGTTCAAGATCTGAGGTGTATTATTTTTATGGTTTTCACACAACCATCACGTCATATACAGTGGCTCAAAAAACTGTCCACATGTTTTGACATTTTTCACTATCTATGATATTGTGTGAGAATGAACAAATGGCTCAAGGACATGGTTATACCACATTGTAGTATGGCTTCAGGGCTTTCATTTGAGCCCTACACCGTGGGAATCGGTGGAGATATGGTGGAGACATAAGGCTTACAAAATCATGACTCATGCGGACAGTTTTTTGTGCACATATTAAAACTATATAAATCATCATTTATGACACCATAACAATCATGCCACCATTAAATAAATTATAAAGTGGTGTCATTATGTCATTTTAAAACCATATCTAACTATACAAACCAAAAATTTCCATATGTCATGGTTATATTCACCATGAAAGCCATCTCCTCTGCTCAAAGGGATAATATCCTCTCTCTGTCTTATGCTGGCCTCTCTGCTTGTCAAATTTCCTCTAGAACTGGAGTATCCAAGTCCACTGTGGCCAAGTTCATCAAAGAAAGTCACACAGACAAGGAAAACTTCTGTGAAGGGCGTCCATCCAAGCTCACTTCTACTGATAGGAGGGCTATTATTCAACATATCACTACAGGAAAGGCTGATAATGCTGTCCAGGTCACCTATTACATCAATTCCACCATCACATTCCCTGTCTCTTCACACACTGTGAGAAACATTCTCAAGACAGCTCATCTCAGGTCAGTAACAAGGAAGAAAAGGCTCTCCTCTCTATCACACATATGCAGAGATGACTAACCTTTGCCTTAGCCCATCAGAATTGGATTACATGGACTGGAAGCATGTTATATGATCATATAAGACCACAATAAATAGGATTGGGTCAGATGGCAAGGTATATATGTGAAAAATGAAGGGTGCTAGTCCTCTCTGCATATTATCTCCACCATATCTCCTCTGATTCTCACAATGTGGTGCTCAATCCAAAGCCCTGAAGCAGCACTCCAATATGGTATCAGCATGTCACTGAGGTCTTTATGTATTCTCACACAATATTGTAAATAGTAAAAAATGCAAAAACATGTGGACAGTTTTTTGAGCCACTGTAGATCATCTAAGGGATACTGTTAAGAACCATGTTGCTCATGGGAGAGAGAGACTGACTCAGAGGGGCTTGGCCTCAGCTCGTACGCTGTGCCCCTTACCTGAGTATGTGCCCTTCATTTTGTATGAGGTCCGATGATGGTCCAATGAAGTCCAGAGGACTTCCAGAGGCTGGCTACTCTGCTGGAGAGTGCTAGAGGACTTCCGGAGGAGCGCGGGAAATGTCCGGAGGAGCGTGGGAGAGTTCCGGAGGAACGCAGGAAGTGCTCAGGAGAGTTCCCACTGCAAGGTAATACTTCTACAGGAAACAGGATGGAAGGATAGGAGGTCCAAAGGTCCAGAGGACTGGAGGACAGGAGGGCAGGAGGACAGGAGGACAGGAGGGCAGGATGATGGAGGACAGAAGGACAGGATGTCTGAAGGTACAGAGGGCAGGATGTCTGAGGGTTAGGAGGATGGAATGTCCGAAGGACAGGATGCCTGGAGGTATGAGGGACAGGAGGTCCAGAGGTCTGGAAGGAATAGGGGCTACATTGGACTTCGTCCGATGTAGAAACAAACGGAGGTAGACTACCCTAAGGTAGAGTTGGAGAGACAAGGGTTGGACCTAAGTCCAGAAGGAGGGTAAGTGCCGGAAAGGCAGAGCTCCAGCCTAGGGAGTCAATCCCTAGGCCTGATGGGTAGGACAGACTTAGGTGGACCAAAGTCCAAGAGAGGATTGGGCAAGTCTAAGTTGATATTCAAACTGAGGAACTACAGGAGTATCTACAGGGGTTATATACTGAACAATATCTGAGGGGATCAGTAAGCAAAGGAGCAAGGCTATGTATGAGCATGTGGAAACACATTAGTAAGTAAGTCAGAACATAAGTAAATGAACTTGGAGATGAGGATTCATACAAGGATCAATAAGCAAGATGGAACAAGAGGTAACTGAAAGCCAGAAGGCAGAGAATGCCTAAATGGGGATAGGTGCAGGATATCGGACAGAGGGTGGAAATAGGTCCGGAGTTAATATCTGGAGGTCTGGAGATCTGGGGATCCAGAAGACAAGGTGGATACAGGACTGGAATATGAGAAGGTGGATATAGTCTGGAATCCGAGACAAGGTGAAGTCTGGATGTCTTGTTGGATGGAGTGCGCATAGGGTGGACAGGATAGGGTTGTACGGATCAGGCTAGCAGCAAGGATCTGGAGGTCCGGAGCTCAGGGGTAAATCAGGAGCATAGTCGATCCTGCTGAGGTATGGAGCACAGTGGAAGGGAATCTGGGAATGAGCTGGATATGAAGTGGGGTCCAGATGTAGGCTCGGAAGGCGTGGGAATATGATGGAACGTGGGTCCAGATTGTGGGATATGACAGATACCTGGTAAATAGATAAGGCATGATAACAATACAACACACCTAGTGATGCCTGGGACACAGTGGACTCATCCACATCCATTGAATTGTAGTCAGTCACTGGAGGGTCATTAAATTGAACAGCTGGCTGTGGGCTCATGTTTTGTGGGGAACTGATTGACTTGCTGACTGATAATTGAAAAAACTTCGAAGTTCAACACAAAACCAGTGATTGCCAAAAGTTGAACTGTGACAAAACAAAGACAAACAATCAATGATTTTAACAATTGTCCATCAAATGTCTTGTTTCTTTTGAAACTTCATCCTTGTGATAACAGATTTCAACCTGATTTCAAGATCTTTAAATCTCTCAACTCAATCATCATGTCCACTCCAGTTGACACCTCTTTGACCAGTCTCAAGGCATCCACTGCCCAGATCATGGCCATCATCAGTGGCACCTGGCAGATTCCCCCAAGTACTGAGTACTGAAACCCAAAACTTAGAAACAAACATCCAAACTTGAAACCTGATAGTCATAACAATGTATGAGTTTGGAGTTTGGAAGTCTCAAATCACTGAGTCCTGAGTCCTGAAACCCAAACATCAAACCCCAAATATCAAACCCCAAAACCTGAAACTCAAAACCTGGAACTGAAAGGTCATCAAAATGTATGAGTTTTGAGTTTTGAGTTTTGAGTTTGAAGTTTGAAAATCAAAACTCAAAACTCAAAACTCATACATTTTGATGACTTTTGAGTTTCAGGGTTCAACATTCAGGGTTCAATGTTCAGGTTTCGAGACTCGGTGATTCAAGTCTCAAAACTCGAAACTCATACATTTTTATGACTTTTGAGTATTGAATCACCAAGTCCCAAAATCCAAAACCTAACACCTGACAAGTTTCAAGTCTCAAATCACCAAGTTGCAAATACCAAGTACCAACACAACTTTGGGTGTCAGCATTCAGTATTCAGTACTTGGTGATTCAAGACTGGAAACTTGACACTCATATATTTTTACAACTTTCAAGTTTCAGGTTTTGGGACTCAGTGATTCAAGACTGGAAACTTGACACTCATATATTTTTACAACTTTCAAGTTTTGGGTTTTGGGACTCAGTGATTTGAAACTTGAAACTCGACAGTTGTAAAAATGTTTGAGTTTTGAGTTTTGAGTTTTGATGTTGGAGTTTCGAAGTTTCAGGTTTTGGGTTTCAATGTTTGGGTGTCGGGACTCAGCCCACCTGTCTATGTAATATACCCATCATTGGCCCACCCATATATATCATAAATATTTCACCACACCATCAGCCCACCTGTCTATATAATAATATCTGCCATACATCTCTCTTCAGCCCAGCTGTCTATAATATATGTCTATCCTACTCTACATATTGCCCAGATGGGCCTACCCATCTCCATTGGTAATAATATTTCTTCTGGCCCATCTGCCATCATCAAGGATATTTATAACATTGGCATAGATGGGCCCACCCATCCCCATCAGAAATAATATCCCTCCTGGCCCACCCATCAACATTGAGGATATACATAACATTGGCCCACAGTCTGCTGGCCCATCTTATACAGGATATTATGTAGGTCAGGTGACCTGTATAATACAGAGTTTGTCACTAAAGGGGCTCACATAAGACAGAACCTCACTATATTGGAGTGTTGGCTGTTGTAAATCTTGCATGATGGCGAGCTTGTTGTACTTGTCCAGTGCCATACAAATTGCACCTGATTGCCTGACAATGGCTCAAGATATTTGTCTTTCAAGTTTATAACCTGCAAAAGATTTCATTAGTAGAGTATATTAATAAACATAAAGCTAGTACTGGTTGATGAAAGATTAGCTTTGGACAACTCAAATGGGTGCTGGATGATGAGACCCTCAAGATCTTCAACCATGCAAATGAATTGCCATCATTTGCTATAGTGAAGTGTCTCCCAATAGTTCAAACATCTGGGAGCCCACCATTCAGCGATATCTAGGCAAGTCTCTAAATCTTCAACAATATTGATCTGAATTTGAAGATGGCACTCCACTGCACACCAAGCTGCTTGTGCCTGCTTAGTTGTCTGAGAAGCTGCAACACTCAACCCAGAGTCAGGTGTGAATGATGATGGTGAGTACATCAAACATTGATCAGATCTAAATGAGTTGAACTGTTGTCTGAATTGGTTATGAACTTTAAAATATGTGCAAATGAAACAAAATGAAACTTACTGATATCTGCTGAGTTTCTCAAGTGCTTCAACATAATCAACTGTGAGAGTGTCGTGTGCAGGCTCAGATGCAATAGAATCCAGATATGCAAGTTCTTTGGCTACCCAAGTCTTAAAATCCATGTCTTGCTCCAGAAAGGATAAGCAATAGGTGTCAAGTTCTTTGGTAAAATCACTAATCAGGGCAATCACTTGTTTGTAATTATTGAAAATAAAGCAGCCTACATTTCAATTAGATCAATCAAACATAATCAATCAGTCAATAGAAGCTTACTGAGTTCAAAATATTTATCCATGTCCCATTGGTTGAAATGCAGGTCATGGAACTGACTATAGTGAAAATATGATGCATGGTGAATGAGGCATGCTGTGGCATTCAAGCTTGCAAAAATACACTCACAAGTCTCAAGATCTTTGAGTCCAAAGCCACGTAGGTACATAGGATGATACTGCAGCTGACATTTGCAGTTATGAGCATGTCCATGGAATGCATTGACCAATAGTAAAAGCTTGTAATTCACAGCATTGTCTTGTATTGAGCTAGTGGCAACTGTCTTAGACAAGCTGCAGCCAATATCACTACCAATGGCTTGGTTGTCACCAAAGATGTCCAGAAGCTTATTGACAGTTGCAAGAGAGTATTTCATACTGTTGAGAATCATCAATAACATAGTATCAAACCATGTTGATAACTTACAGCTTGCCACTGCGGTGTATCTTGGTAACCATTTGAACAATCCTGTGTCAGCATGCATAGAGAAAGATACCAGTCTGTTCAAAAATATGTGTAGTGTTCTCATCAGTCGAATTAGCAGCTTTCTAATTGTTGGTATACAATGTGAGTTGTTCAGCTCCGCATTCACCAGGAGGTAGCCATACATCATCCTTAAATACATAAACTTGATCTGGGGGGATCATATACCTGCTGGGCAAGATATGGCAATCAACACTGCCACCATTTGCCATGTGTTTTGCAGAATTGTTCCCATCCATTGCTCTGAGACTGGCAGGATACAGCAGACATTCATTGGGTTGCTGTTGAAGTAGATTAGACAATAATGTTTTTAAAAATAGCACACTGACCTCAAATGTGCACGCTGGACAACCATGTTGAAGGTGCCAGTCAGGATCTATGCACCTGAGTGCTATATCCACCTGGGACTAAACTTCAATAAGTATTGAAAGATAGACATCAAATGTGATTGAAAATTGATTGTGGAATGTTTGGGCATAATTGACCTAATGATTAGTTAGAATGCTATAAGTCATGCACAATAAATGACTTACATTATGTATCACACACAAAACCTTTGTGAATGCCTGGATACTGAATGAAGACTGCCATCATCAAAGTTGATGATAGAGTTCAAGACATTGCATGCTGATTGCAACAGTCGGTGCAGTAGGAGAGCAGCCAAGTAGACCACATGCAATAGAGACACATTTTAATGTGAATGTGTACATTCTCATGTTACTAAGTAGTAACATAAATGGTGTCACTCAGGTGTGTTTCATGGCTGTCCTGCATATGACCTACCAAAATTTAGCAATGTTTCGTCCATCTATGTATTATTTATTTATTCTTTATCTCCCTCCCAAATCCCTCCCTATATATTCAAATAGTCATAATAACTACAGTCATTCCTTCAGTTTTTTTGTTGTTCAGGACTTAGCTACTTATTTGTGGCATCATATTATTAGTCACACAAGTTTTGTGTAACTCAGTCTACACCCCTTGGAGAGTTAGCGAGCTTTAGTGAAGTTTTTTAATTATGCAAATGGCTGTAATACATGACATGATAGATGATAGTAGGCATCTGTAAATCCACTGAAATGAACACTTAGCTTACATACATTACAGACACTTACAAATGCCTATGACTTCACAAGTGCACTCATGTGATTGGTGGAGATGTTGAACACCAACATTACACACCATATCTGGCTGATAGAAATCAAGCCTGGTTATCTTTCATTGGTAAGATATGATATGCTCAGAGATATGATATGATAGATGAGGTAGCAATTGATACATTGTTGCATACTGATTTAACTATGTCTGTTAAAAATGGGGAAATGTTACAATCAACATACACCCCTATTCTTTTCTCTTTTATCTCATGTTGTATTACATTATGATTGCTATTTGCTGTTATTAGATGATCTTATCATTTCTCTTTTGGTCTCTAACCAACTTCATCACTTTCATCTGTATTAGGTACTTGCTTGTATCTTTACCTACTCGCACCTGCCCTAAACTCTCTTAGCTATTCCCTATAAATATGTGACTTCATACACTGTAGTACTTCACTTGAATCTTACTAGGTTTTACCTGATCTTTCACTAAGGACCTCCAATCCTTAGTCATCTGAACCCCTTGATTCTAATAGTGAGCACTCCTTGTTGTTAGTCTTTGACCTTCCCTCTTTTGAGAACATGAACTCAGTCTCTGAATGTTCTCTTTTGAACTTTGACTGTGTAGAACCATCCTAGTTTGTAATAGGTGGTGTGAAATATGCAAGTACATTTTGACTTCAAACATTTTGAATTAATCACACAGATAACTAACATTGATTCCGGAGCTAATGATGTATCATTGGACCAATCCTTTTTCAAAGGCAGCATTTCCACTCACCATATGCATATTGCATGCAATGTAAAGTGCCACTTTTCAAGTGGTGGCATCACTGAGACCACATACCAAAACTGCTTGTTGCCAATGACATTTGAGGCCCTGCAACTATTAAAGAGTGCATATTGTCAAGGTCACAGATCTGCAATGGCACAAGCTGAGTTGGCTGCTGCTTGTGAATACCCTGCCATGGATATTGTGTAGTTACTCATTTGTGTTGAATTTTTGATGTAATTGTTGTAATTTTCTTGAAATTAATATGTTGCATTCAAGTGTTTGAATATGTTCTGAACTTGAACTGAATGCTTGTGAATGTGTTCACAAGGGTCCAGTCCAGTGTTCACCCTCCTTGCCTGAACCAGACCATGGGTCCAGTTTGGGGTTCACATTTAGAGGCCTAAGAACTGGTAACACACATGAAACTTGTTTTGTACATGGTCATGGCCATATTATGATTTATGCTACTATAAGTTATGTTACCATTATTCTACTATGATTTATGTTATCCTTCATTTCACAGAACTGAGTGCACATGAATACACAGTTTTTTTTCCCTCATGTTTGCTAGTCCTCATCTACTCAAAAGGTTAATTGATGTATTCACCCAGCTTGTCCTCTTCCTTTTTGTTGCAACTGTTAGGTATTCTGACTCACATTCTTTTGATAGCAAGCCTGCAAGACCTGGTAACCCTCAAAACAGAAGTCATGCTCAAGCAGCAGAAATGGCATATACAGTGGCTCAAAAAAGTGTCTCAATGTTTGTGACTTTTTGTGTAATTGCTGTACTATGAGCTAGGGTGTGAGAGTATGACTAAGCCATAAGGAGGTGTGGGAAAGCTCTGCTTCTAAGCTTCATGTTTGATCTCTCTAGTGTGAGAAAAATATGTCATCAAGTGAAGATATGGTTAATTTAATTTGGTGACTCATTGAGACACTTTTTGACTTTCAGTTTGACCAACACAATCTCTATAGTTCTGGTACTTGGATTGTCCTCCTGTTGCTCTAATTACTTCTGCCACTCTTCTATGCATAATATCTATCAATTTGAGGCATTCCTCATCACCAATCTTGTCCCACTCTGCTGCAACTTGCTCCCACAGCTGAAATAGCCCCTATTGTTATTATCATCAGCTTTTCTAATCTGTATACCAGGCAGATTGCTACTAAAACTGGTCTGAGCAGGGTTACTACCATTAGGATCATAAAAAGTCATTCCAGATAAGAAAAATATCAAATTAGATTGTCCTTTCAAGCTTACATCATATAACAACAAATTTCTTGTTCATAATATTCCAACTAGGCAGGCTGCCAATGCTACTCAAGCCACCAAATTCATTAATGACATCATCTACACTGCTCTCTCCACTCAAATAGTCAGGGATACTCTTAAGGCAGCCAATCTTAAAGCTGTAAACAGGCAGAAAAGCCTTTACTGTCTTCAGCCTATATAGGAAGGAGATTGGCCTTTGCTTTAAAGCCTCAATATTGGACTGTTGAGGACTGGAATAGAGCTAACTGGTCAGATGAAACAAAAATCAATAGGATGGGGCCAGATAGCTAGGAATATATGTAATGAAATGCAAAAGAACTACTAGAAGAAAGAAAGGTCAAGAAAACATTAGAGTATGGAGTAGGAAACTTGATGGTATGGTGTTGTATGAGATGGAATGGAGTAGGAATTCTCTGTAAGGTGGGTGGGAGGATGAATGCAAAGCAGTGCATTTCAATTTTGGAAAAGTATCTGCTCAGAAGCATGCAAGAATCAAGAATTAATGAAGAAAACATTACCTTCTAACAAGATAATGACCCTAAGCATACTTCAAGTTGACCATAAAATGGTTTGCAAACTATGGTATCAGTGTTCTATCATGGCAAGTCCAGTCCTCAGACCTCAACCCTGTTAAACAGCCCTGGTAATTACTCAAGATATCACTTGCAGTCTATCAAGATCCTCAATAGGGGTTATTTCAGCTGTGGGAGCAAGTTGCAGCAGAGTGGGACAAGATTGGTGATGAGGAATGCCTCAAATTGATAGATATTATGCATAGAAGAGTGGCAGAAGTAATTAGAGCAACAGGAGGACAATCCAAGTACCAGAATTATAGAGATTGTGTTGGTCAAACTGAAAGTCAAAAAGTGTCTCAATGAGTCACCAAATTAAATTAACCATATCTTCACTTGATGACATATTTTTCTCACACTAGAGAGATCAAACATGAAGCTTAGAAGCAGAGCTTTCCCACACCTCCTTATGGCTTAGTCATACTCTCACACCCTAGCTCATAGTACAGCAATTACACAAAAAGTCACAAACATTGAGACACTTTTTCGAGCCACTGTAGCATAAGTGAGGAAGGTGAGTAGTATCCTGAAGACAACAGGGTGGAAGAAAATCATGAGGCAGAGCTACCATCAACAACAAACACCCCACTCCAACTCCTAGTAAACATGAATGGTCACAAGATAAGGGTTCAAAATCTGACCAAAGGTGAAGGCAATTCTGTGTTCTTTAACCACTAATGTGTTCTACTCTGTGTTTGTTTTGATGCCCTTATACAAGTCTCCAGAAGTGGTGAAATATAATGCTGCCTCCTGAACCCAAGTTTCACATTCAGCCTTTGCTTCCTGCCAGTCTTCAGGACTTTCTTTCCTCAAATCATCTGCAGTCCAGAAGCCATATCTAACCCATCTTTATCAACCCTCCTGCAAAATATTGAGTGAAGGAAAGGTGCTTTTCCCTGGATGAGATCAACATGTTTCCATGTTGTAGGATTGCTGAAGGTATGAGGATGGTTGACCTGGGTGGAAACTCAATGACCAGTCCTAGGTCAAAAAGAATCAAATGACCACCCTTGGTTGGGTCGTAGTTTCCCAGAGCGGTAATGCTGCACATACCACTGGCAAAGTTTCCATTATCCATGTGGCCATAGGTCACTGTGGCAGGGCCAAAGTTGAACGTTGCTGCAGCAAACACACTATTTCAAAAGTTCCATTTCAAGCTGGGGTGCTTTTCCAAAAGAGAAGTTCTAGTGTTTGCATACAGCCTATGCACTTTTGGCGAGTAGCGGTGCAATATACCTTTGGAATTCAGTCATCGCATGGACTGACCCAGACATGAAGGGTGTACTGTTTCCAAATCTGGCAAGCCTTTGGATGGCCTTGTTCCTGAGGAGGGATTGGATGGCTGCTCCATTGCTCTTGGAATGTAACAGGTTTCCTGGAATCTACTACTGTTCAACTCACAGCCATTGAAGGCTCAATGAACATTTGGCATTACCTGCTGCCCTCTACCATATGAGACTCCCACTGGAAGGCATGGATAGCATCCTCTCCGGTGTTCCCTGTTAATATATCTGAAAACACACTGTCCTCTTGCCTGCTCCATTGCGTTGCAGGCTGCCTTTGCAGTATGTTTCCAGGCATCACCTTTAGGCCATCCTGCCAATATGCCAACAATGTGTTTGTTGTTGTCCAATAAAATGTGAGGCATACTGACATATCCCTGTGTAAGGTCTTTTGTTTGAATACACCATCCATCCCATTTCACGAGTTTAAATCCATTCTGGAGCAGGCTGTCAAGCTCCTGAATGCCTTTACCATGAGCTAGAACATGCTTCCCAACATAAGCTCCCTGGGTGATATGTAGCTGGTCTACTGAGAGAGTAGTGGCAATTGATGTTGGAAGATGATTGGTAGCAAGCTTGGCCTTTGCCTGACACATACTTGTGTCCTTAGTGAGCTTCTTATAGTGATGATGCTCTCATTTCCCTTTCTGTTTGTGACTGCCAGTCTTGTTCTGCACGTTCCCCTGATCCACATTTGTAGCACTACCAAGGTGCTCTTGACTGTGCCCATGCAGCATGCTGTGCTTGTCTGGCACAGCTGCAGGCTCTCCACCAATGGGAACAGCAATGACCTGCCCTGCCTCCCACCCTCTTAATAGGTCAGCAAGCTGTGCATCTTGAACATTCAAGGCCCTGTGAATGAGTGGCATTGTGTCCCCCTCAGTGCACAGCTGGATGACTATTGCATCTACAGGCAGCTGGATGTTGGTGTGGACCTGCAGTGTGGTGATGAGTGTTTATTTGAATGAGGAAATAGAAACAACATCGTACATCCTGATCCAAAGCCCCAGGTGATCCAAGACTGTCATTTGCCATACCTGCTGCAAAACAAAGTGATCTCATGGAGAAATGAATTTACAGCCCTTAGCATAATGTTTGGCTCAACCAATGACATGTTTGGTCTTGTTTTTGTTACAAATATATTATGTGTGGCACTAACAACCATCTGGATTCAGGAAGGAGTCATTGTCACCAAATGAAGGGCAATACAAGGTGCTAATAGATGGCCAGGTGCTGTGGGAGTCCATGCAAGCCACCTCTGCGAGCAATGCAACAGTTTTGGCCTATGTTTGCCTTTGAACTGTCTTCAAGTGTGTGTCTGAATCCTTTCAAGATTGCAAACTGACCATTCTTGGATCTGTTTAGCCTATTGAATGCATCAACTCTCATTTTACTTTGATGAATGAATCTGACAAGAGTGCTGAAATGTGTGTTTTGGGTGGTGAGTACTGGCACATCAATTCGCACTTGTGGCCTTGCTGCTCATGATGTCCTGTAAGTTCAAGAATGACTCTGAGCAGTGCTACCTGTTTTTTTTTCCAATTGTTGTCCTTTGCAGATACAGATCTATGTAGGACATTACAATCTAGTCTATGGGACCCCTGGTGTCCCTTTCACATCTCTAGATGCACGAATGCCCTGATGTGAGGTGTACCCCCATCAGTCCACCATTTCCACCAGCTGTTTTAGATGCACCATCTTATTGATGGGATGACTTTTGATGATTCTTGTGTTAATTAAAGGCTATCATATGATTATGTGAATGTGTACTCTGTCGCCTTCAGCGACAGGTACAGGAATCAGGAGGGATGCAAACATGTGGGTTGGGCTGGTGTACTGCTTGGCTGTCAAAGGACATGTTTGGCTGATACTGCTTCTTTAGCAGGTGATTCTGTGTAGGTGAGTGTGTTGGTTGTGTGGTAGGTACAGGCTGAGTGGAGTGACATTCTGTGTGTTGGTCTGGGGGTGGATGGGATATCAGAATCTCACCAAACATCTTTCAGAATTGCCAAGTTGCATTGAGGAATCAAATGAGGGGTTGGGTGGCTAGAGGACTGGATAGGAGGAAGGGTAGGGAGGTGGCTTTTTGTCCAAGTGTTACAACTAGAGCATGACGGTCACAGCAATATGATGGGCAGTCAAGGAGGAGATGTGACATGGTTTCATTCATGTTCAGACAGTGTGGACAGTGTGGTGATGGAGCTTTGTTATGATAGCTTTCTGCTGCCCTTTTGGCATGCTTGTCTGCTTCTTTGTTACCATGTATATCAGCATGTCCTGGGACCCAGTGGATGGTGACTTGGAAATTTCTGTGCTTTTTCTTGATATCAGCTAGTCTGTTACAAAATAAATCGGTCAAGTAAGATCCTGGACATGAGTGGAGGCTTTCACTGGATTATATTGTAGCTTGGTTGTCAATGAGGATGGAAATTGGGAAGGTGGGGTCTTCCTCTGTGGCTAGTAGTTTGGCCACCAGATTCAGGCTGATGGCCTCTGCTTCGAACACTGTATGTTCTTTGTCAGTTCCAAGGTGATAACAAAGGGTTCAGTGCTACCTGTTGATGCCCACACTCCTGTGTGAAGCATGCTCTAGTAGGCAGTGATCTTTTTGGCTCTGCAATAGCCAATGGAAAGGGATCAAGCCCTTGCCCTAGGTGTCAATGCTGAGGCATCGCCTTAGAACAGAGAAGGAACACACAGCACACAGTGCAGAGGAAATAGGTCTGGCCCTCACAGCCCATGATATTGGCACAGAACAAGACTGTATCCTCTGGCTCTCCATTCCAATAGAGAATCAGGCAGATATGAAGCCTTGCGACAGCTTGTATATATGGCAAAGAACCTGATCAGCAAATAGGTTCAGATCCATGATGACAGAACTTGCAAATGAACACCCAAATGACAACATGATGATCCCATTGGTACCAGGGTGCAAGGGAGTGCAGAGAAACAAAGAGGTTGACAAAGCAGAAAAGAAAGTAGCAGAAAGCAGAGGGGCAATAGCACTAGAGCACTCCTGCCCAGACACATTCAACACCAGTCCATCCATGTCACATTCTTCACCTGGCTCCAAGGATGCTGCTGACTCACGCATGCAAGATGGACCTGCATTTTTGAGAAACACTGTGGTTGGGATGGTGTTCACGAGCTTGAACACAGGTTTGTCAGCCACTCATTCATCAAGCTCGCTGGATTGCATGCAGAGGGTGTCAGAAAATCAGTGATGCCATGCTTCCCACAAGACATTGAATGAGCACACGGCATCGTTCTTGAATTGGGTCATTATGGTCAGGAATGTCACACAATGGAGTGCGCCCTAGGGTGGAAAGCATCTACCATGCCATTCTGGCTAATGAAGCAAAAGGCCATCCACCAGCACCTCGCAGCATATGTCAATGTTGCTCATAGACTGAAGGAGATGGATGATAAAGCACTTACTCAGCCTCCCTCTGTTCAGAAAGCCACAGGCATGGGTTTGAAACGATATGACAAGCAACGATGGTCAAGACCAAATACATCATAGGTCCTCACACTAATCTACTCAGGTTGTGTTGAAGAATTGTAATGGTATGACAGGAGGGGAAAAAACACAGCAAGTGATCACAGCTTAGACAGTCAGGATCTGCCAGCAAAACACATTCAGTAATCCATTTTCTACCATTGGATATGTTCTGGTGTCTAGTTCTGGTGGGTGCTGTGAAACATTTTATGTGGATTCTGGGGTATTGAGAGGATGTGATTGATAAGGATTAAAGGTGGAAATGACATATATCAGGTCATGGTCTTGGGTGAGGCACACAGCCACAGTTATCACATCCAACAAGGGACTGAGTGAAGATAAGAAATAGTACTGTTTGATGGGGCAAAAAGAAGGTTTAGATGAGTGGTCAGGGTAGACTGAAATAAAGGAGAAGTTCAGAAGATGTTGGGCAAGTGTGTGGCAGTAGTATGGCAGTGTGACTTTAGTGAGTGGTCTAACAGTGTAAGACAGATGGGGAAGGACTGTGTAAAAGACAGGTTTAGAGAGCAAGGAGTGATTTAAAGGGCAGATGGCAAGGGTTTGGAAGGAAGGTAATGTGTGGATGGATTGAATGGGGCTGAGAAGGTCGGTAGCTGGAGGTGTGAGGGATGGTATTACGAGGGTGATGAGGGGCTGGACCAAGGATGACAAGGTCTTAACAAGAGAAGGTCGGAGAAATAGGAAATGGGCATGGATGGTAAAGCTGAGTGATGAGTCGGAAGGATAAGGGGCTTTGGGATGACTGAGCTGGAATAGATATGAAGCAGCAGCAGTAGGGGAGGGTTGAATGAGGGTGATTTAGTGGGCTGTAAGGAGATTTGGCTGGGACAGGAAGCAGGTTGAAGATGAGTTGAGCATGGGTTGAAAGCTGCATACAGCACAGGGGAAAAAAGGAAAAGAGGAAGTGTGGGAGAAAATATAGGATTGGGTTTAGCATTAGATTGACTGCTAGTGAGCAAGGAAGGAAAAGAGGTGCACAGGATTTACAGATTGATGAAAAGTTGGAATAGGGGTCACAGTCAGGGCAGGGACACTGCTCTCCGTCTGGCATGATCTAGAACTAGCTGCATGGATTGTTCAATGGCAATGGGCTAGACAGTGCAGGACACAGTTTGATTGTATTGCACCATGGGATGATAGTGAACATGGATCTAGCTGTGCTGGGCATGAGGAGCAGTCTGCAAACACATTTGGCTAGTCTGTAAGGAGATTTGGCCGCTTGATTGTGAGGAGTCTCAAGTCTCAACAGCATGACAGCTTGCTGAGCGATTTTCTGTGTGCATCATCCTGACTATGTGTGTCCCCTGCAACTGGCAGTCTCTGTGCTGCTGCCAATGATTAATCAACTGTGCACATTGAGCAAGCTGGTGGACTGCCTTTTTATGGTGCATCCAATGGTGTGGATGCATTTGTGAGCAAGATTACACTGGAGCATGCTCTTATTTTTAGTGAATGGCAAGTCTATATTTTTTGGAAGCTAGTGTGTTCTTTTGTTCAGATCTGGATGCCCTCTAACTCCAGTGCCCACAGTGCAACTTCCTTCTGGCATGCAAACTCATCAACTGTGCTCTTGTCAGGGTGATGGGTCAGTGAGCAAAGAAGATCAATCAAGGCAGATGGTGTGCATCATGGGGAAGTAGATGAAGCAAGAGAGGCAAGTAGTAATCGCCTCTTGACTTGGGTTGTATGCTCAATCATTTACTTGCCCTCAGTCATTCATAACATTGCTTCTGCCACATCCAACAGCTCCTAAACATCCACCACCTTCAGTGCATCCTTATGTCACATGATTCACCATGAGATCTGCATGGAGCTGTGAAACACTGCTGGTTTGTAGCAGCTCATAACAGAGTCCTGCTCCTTCAGTGCCAACCTTCTGTACTCACAGTGCACACCCCACCCTTGTCAGCCTTCCAATGCTCCACTGCCTCCAGACCCTCGTACAAGGTGCAAATTCATACAGGGTGCAAATTGATGGTTCATGATCATACCAATGTTAATAAGGCAACTAGGACCCAGCAGCACATGGCATGTACCATCCACATTGGCACAATCAGTGACAACAATGATGGCAATTCTCTTAATGTCATCCTCAAACTCTGTGACATTTGCATGGTTTGGTTCTTTCCTGAGGACAAAATTGAAGAAGGTGATTGGGGTGCCTACAAAATTGTGGCCTGCATCACATTGCCAACAACTTAGAGGGAAAGGTGCAGAATGACCTTACTAACCTCTACTGTACCACTCCCATTGCGCTTCACTCCAGGAGAAGGGGCAAGGATTGTGTTCCTTGTGCCAGCACACTGGCAGCTCTCCATCTTCCAAATGCTGAGTCTGGTGAAACGCGCTAGGTTTCCTCAACTTGTTCAGGGACTGTTGCTTGATAACATGCTCAAATGTTTCACAAACTCCCTCAATGCATCTTCTGATCCATGGCTGGATCCAGTGGGGGGCAATGATTCCTTCCCTTGTTCATGAATATTCCATCCCTTTTCTAGCAGCATGTCAAGCAGTGCTGAGCATGCATGGATGCGATGGGCTTACTGAAGAATGCCCTTTTTGCAACCATGACAGGATACACTACCAGGAAATCACATCCTTCAATGAAAGCCTTATCATAATCCTTGTTTAAAGCAGTCACAACACATGCTAATTTTCTATTTGTCAACAGGTGAGACGCTCTCTTTTCCAGACATAGTCCAACTTCAGCAACTGCCCCACCACCAATCGCCTTGTGAGCATGTGCTGGGCAAGCATTACTCCCATGTTCTGTTGGCAACTCACAGCCATATTGGCCTCCCTTCCTTTTAACTTCTTCATACCTCTGTGAAAGCTCCAGCCATATGCCACAGCACCTCATGGGAAGCAGTATAAGTCCCCACTTTTGCCCACCCTCAAATGCTGGCACCTGGTACATTTTATATGACTCTGTTGTCTCAACATCGATAACCTGGGTTTCCTGCAGTTCTCTGTATGTGATCTGAGTATCACTAGTTCTTTAGTGAATTGTTCATGACAGCCTTGCCATGAACAAGCAGAATTGCAAATAAAGTGATGGGCTGGTGGAGTGGCAAGCCCAGGCATGCGCTACCACTGCATCCCACACATCCGTCATCTCACATTGGTTTCAGCATTTCCACACCACATCCACCATATTTTTCCACTCAACCCCCGCATCTGGTGAGTCATGGACCTTTGCAATCTATCTGTGTCAATACCCAGTGGTACATCCACATTCAATCCCTTAGCAATATTTTATACAGCATTAATTATTTGCATTTGTTTCCCTATACATACTGTAGTGAACAGATTTACTAGTAGCATCCTAATCAAATGGTGTTCAGGAGCCACATTGAGTTTGATTGAGTCTTGTTGAGCCTTGTGTATGTGTGTTGTGTTTGCTTGTGTTTGTCCACAGTTGACTTACTTGTGCCTCTTTCTTTTTTTTGCTCTCTGTCCAATATGTGCATTCGACTCTTCCCCAACCACCTGGCATACCCTCCCTGTAGCAGGAGGCTGCCTCTTGCATATGCTGGAGATATGCTAGCTGGGGTGGTACACTCTCCACCCTGTAATGCCTGAGAAAGGTCACTGCTGGAATTGATCTGGAGTGCAGCAGCAGCAATAACTACTGCCTAGGTTTACAGTTGCAGTCACTGAGACCTATTTGGCTGCCATTATATCTTCCTAACTGCACAGCATCATCCTCCAGGTAGTCAGAGGTACATCTGGCATATGCTGGAGTCATGCTGGATGGACAACACCCTCCTCTTCCCTGTACAGGGCATAGTGCTCTTGGGCTGTAATGCCTGGGATGAGTTAGTGCTAGGACTGACTGTATGAAGTGTCCCATGTGGCCCCATGAGACAATGTCATGCTCCCTCAACATCCTCTTTGTATTGTTCATCTTGAACATAGGTACTGAAGGGTAGTATTCATGCCTCATGCCACACATCAAACACCATGGATAGTCATCTAATGCACATTTATGTGCATCCTATTTTGACAACAGTTTCAATGTTGCAATTAATGTATAAAGATTAAACTGACAGGTGGGCTTGGTATTGCACTTTGAACTGAGTGCTGGTCTGCACTACTTGAACATGACTCTGCTACACTAGTATATTTGACATGTTGCTTTATTAATCTTGCAAGTAGCACATGGTCAATCAGATCCACATCCTCTAGCCTTCTCTTCCATGTGCCATCCATTGCCTGCTGGACTTTGTCAGAGCTGTGAATTGCACCCATGATATTGTTTGTCTGAATGGGTGAACTCAGAATTTGCCTGGTTACCCTCCCATGGGTTGTGGAAGATATGATTCTGAAAAAACACACCAGGGGTGGGAATACCACAAAGTAGTGGGTATGTGTGTTTTGCCATCTACCATATGTATAGCCTTTACCATATCTTTGCATATTCAACATCCTTCCAACATCATTTCAGCCAATGCTGTAGGGGCATGCTTGTAGTGCATGGAATGTTGTTGTAGGCATGAGCTAGTTATCAGTATCTTGTTTTTTGTTCAGTCTGGTCCATCATGGCAGTCTCACAGCCCCGTATATTGATCATTTTTGTTCTCATCATGAAAGCACACCAACAGGGATCTCAAGATCATGCCAGTAGTGAAAAAAGAAAAAGTGGTAGGAACAAGCAGCAAGATGGTCTAAAACAGCAGTTGAAAAGATGTTCCGGGTAACATTGATCAACTGGCTGATTACTGACGAGAAGGCAAGAAGTATCCATGCAAGATGTATACATAGTGAGACAATAAAGGGGGAAGTGAAAATACATGTGTCTGGGATGGGTGCTAGCACTGTTACTGATCACTAGTACAAGCTTTCTTGACCATGTACATGTCAGCAGCAACAGCCATCTTTGAATGCCAATTTCAGCTTGAAGACATTCTCACTACTTTGAACAGTTGATATGGCATGATAACTACAGATGCAGGGAGTAGGAAGATTGTGTGTCATTTTTCTGTCCTGCCACACAGCACTTGTTCACCTTTCTGAACAGAATGGTTGAAAATCAAAAATTCAGGGGATTTGAGGATGAACAGCACAGGACTAAAGAATGGAGAGGACGCATGTACAGAAAGTTTGTGGTGAGTTACAGAGACAGAACATTCAGAGTCAGCATGCCTGATGATAGTATCCTTCCAGTCATTCATCAACCTTCATGTTGGTTGAATGAACCAGTTGTGTCAGATCCAGCATCTGTGTATATTGCTGGTATGTGTTGTTCTTCTGAAGCTTCTTTTTACCTAGCCCTCTACCTCTTTTCCTGCCTGTTTGAATTATTTGGGCGGCTGTGTCATTCTGGCACTCCGTAAGATCCACAAAGAAGTTTTGCAGGTCAGGAGAAGGGGGGAAATAGTGCCAGAATAATTGAGGCATGGTGAGTGTGTTTACCCTCTTGAAGTGTTTATTGTCCCTGTTGGTCCTTGCCCATAATGACTGCCAACTGCACCTCAAGCATTGAACATGGACCCTCTTGTTGTGATTGAAAATGTGGAGGTCTGCTGGACATGGAGTGCAACCAGGCTTGCCACAAGACTTGAATTCATAGCCAAAGGCATGCAGTCCAAGTGTGTCTTTTGTGATTTGGTAACATTTGATCTGTCAGGAACCATTGACAGTGGTCACATACACCACCACTGCCATCGTGTAGTCCAAGACATCATTGTTTGAGGTAAGCATGTGGCAGATTGCTGACCAGGGGTCTGTTTGTCCAAACACTCCAGCCTCCACTATAAAAGAGTACACAGTATGGGAGACCATGGAGGGCAGTGTTCCGGACCCTCCAAACACAACCATGACTTTAAACTGGTCGCTGAAGCACAGTGAATGAGGATGGTGCATATGGCATAAGAAACATACCTTTTGACTAGCTTTAACACAGATTCAAAGTGGTGGGAGACCCTGATTGCAGGTCCACAGCTGACCAGAAGTAGCCCCCTCCACCCCCCTCTGGCTTTGGTGGTGAGGTTGCACCACAGCTTCATTGATTTTGCAGTAGTGAGGATAGAGTGGTGACTCCTTGCAGCATCCGAAGCCTCTCCCATGCATTTCAAGAATTCTGTGCCAAGGTAGGCCTCGACAATCTTGGTGATGGTCATGTTGTTGCCTCCTGTATGCTGCAGCATTCCTGTGAACTCATCTGAATGTGTGTCAACAACAATGAATGTATTGGGTGGAAATCTGTGACTAGTGTTACCATGCATGAATTCCAAGCTGTCTGCCAGCTTCCTAGATTCAGATGCATGGGCTGCACCATGCATGTGCAAGGTTTGTGTGAACAACTATCCACAATGGTATATTCATTAGGGTGAAGGATATGGCTTAGTTCTACACACATTGTGTGGATGCAAGTGATAGTGATCCTCCAACTCAACCTTGACCATTGTTGCAAGGTAATTGTCCTTCATAGATTCAAAGTTGAGGTTGACAATGGCCATGGGCCAGTTCATCTTCACCTTCTTTCTTCGCCCAAAGCTAATGTAGGCATACTGCAAGGGTTGGTCCTTCCTGTCTCCCATCCTAAAGCATACCAGGCACAGAAAATCATCTTTGTTCTCCACTGATCCAAGATATATACAACCCCTGCTTTTCTGAGTTGCCTGTTCACACATGATGGCACCACACTGAATGCACTGATGTTGGTATCCCAGTTGTACTGCCTCACAGCAGAAGTGACAATACACACCTACAATATTGGATGAGGCAGTTAATGAGGGGATGGGCTCCACATGAATGCTCTCTTGACCTGACTGACTGTCTGTAGGTGGCTTTTAAGTCATTGGGAGGGCTACTTGTGGTACCATACTTCCAATGTCCACCTCCCCTGGCCCTGCTTGTGATATCCCACTCAGAATTACCCCTGGCTTGGCTTGTCTTGTTCTCTTGGGAGGCATGTCACAGAAAAATGGGAAAAACAAGTAAGGTTGTGTGATTGATTGTGAGATGATTATTCCTGACTCCCACACTTAGCAGTATCTACATCAATATCATGTGAACATATTATATCAGCTTTTGTTGAACTGGAGTTATCACATTGTGGTTATCAATATTGGATAACTGACTGCCAAAAATATGGAAAGATCAACCTATTGCATGGTCTGGAGTGCACATAGTGCATGCAAGGCACAGAGTAAAAGAGTTTGTGTGAGCAGTATGCCCTAAATGGTCATTGCAGACATCAAAATATCATTTAGAATGACAATCTGAAAGCCTCCCTTCCTGATTATGATTTGGAAGGTGAGGTATGGAGTTGGAAATTGCTTACATTTGACAGTGCTCCTTGGCACATAAGGTTTGGAATGCATATCTGGAATTCTAAAAGCTGCAGGAAGTCAATTATTTACAGTGTGTTGCATATGAGACTAGGGGTTCACATTGCAAACTTCTGACCTTGCTCCGATATGCAGGCAATTGGCCGGTGCTTTTTTTTGTTTTCAGATTTTAGATCTAGGTTACTTGTTTTCTACAATGTTCATTTATCTCACGTGATTACACAGCATGATGTTCATGTCAGGTGACTGACAGATTATCTTCCATCCAACATGACCTTGTTCCGCAAGGTGATTGCAGTACTTGTTTTTCAAAAACTTGGCCTCATAGTGACTAGAAGTTTACTGGCACTTAAAATCCTAATTAGGTTAAGGGATGTGATGTGTCACTCTAGCCAGGGCCTGCTGCTTACAAGATGTTACATCCCTTGACCTACTGTACTTCTGTGTATGGAGGCAACCATGACACATCACAAGGGGTTGGTTGCTAACTGTAGTCACATTTTTGGTAGGAATCACAAAAAATCTGCTGCAAAAATCACTAAAACTACTTTTTTGCCTCTGTGCCAATTTCCTGCTCATTTACTAGTCCCCTTATATTCTCATTGCTTCCAGCTACAATGTCAACCCCTTTGATTCCAAAAGTATCCAGAATGACAGCACTACAAGGTATGTCAGTGCCATCATCACCAGCCTCAGCATTGAGCTGAGACTTGGGTGGTTTATTCTCCAGGCTGTGAATGATACCTGTGCAATTTTCAATCTTGTCATGAAGTTTAATCGGTAGTTTACTCAAAACTCCCTCCATGAGAGTTTGAAGCCTACACTACTGTGACACATGACAGGGACATTGGTTGCTATTTTGTTCCAATGTCATGGGCAATCAAACAAGGTTGCTAACTTTGCAACTGTGGCAGTGTGTCACATGCAATCCATGGCTGTCTCCATACACAGAGGTACATGAAAAGCATGTACTGCAATCTCATATGCAACACACTGTAAACTTCATCAAAAACTGCAGCCATTCACACAGAAAAATGGGTTTGGTCTGGCAGCCTGGAAGGCCTGTTTAACCATCTTTGTATTGGGTCACCTGTCACATGGCACTCCCAGCACTGTGCTTACTGACACCTGAGGCAGGATAGAATTTGCTTGGTAGACAGATAGGTATTGTATCTGCAAAAATATTTTGCACTCATGATGGAATTTGTACTGCAATGGTATTGGACATCCAAATTTGTGATATAACATTTAGGCAGGTTGAGGAGAGAATATCCTAAATCTAGCATCCCCAACTCCTGAAGTGGAGGAGAGTTTTGTCAGTTGGAAATGTACCCATCCCTGTCAAGAAGTTTGTGGGTTTTTGCTTCCTGAATGAGTGGTTGCTGGCTGCTATGTCAACTGTCCTCTCTTGATGCATGTGTTTTTTGCAATCTTTTGTATGTCTCACATGACCTTCTGCATAAGATAAGTTGGCTTCATTCTCTCTACTTGTCCAGCAATTTTAATCCTGTGCTCCCCTCGCATGACTGAAGGTATGTGGGCATTATTGTTTTGATTCCTAGGTAACATGATTCTAATCATCACCAGGGTGTTTTCACTCAAAGAGCCTTGCATGGCTGGCTTTGGATTGTGCTCTGGACTATGTTGAAGGCTCAGTGTGGATCGAGCCACCATTCCATGCTGTGTTTTTGCAAATGTTGTTGAACTGCACTGCAGTAAATGTCAGGCCAGGTTGTGGTGATTTCCTGACTTTGGAAGTTCTTCTCATTAAGGATGATTTCATTACTAGATGCATTATCCATACTCTCAGCTCCAAGTTCACATTCAGTGTAGATTTCCTTGATGGATTGATGCTGGACAAGACTGGCATTATCGACACTGCTCCCATGCATGCTGTGATGAACATCTGTGTACAATGTTGTTAGAGTCTGACCATCTATGCTACAATTGGCTCTGGCTAATGATCTTTATTGTGCTTTGCTTCTGGCTCATTTTTCAGATCTCACCTGGTTGGAGGAGAGAATATGTGCGAAATATTGCATTTCTGCACATGTCACTTATCTTTTCAACCTTCTGATTGTGCAAAGTAAAAGATTTTTTATGGAAATACTTGCACATGCAAGATGAATGTCATCTTGCCAGCCAACGTTCTGCCTCATACTCCTACCAATATTGACAACCTCCTGAGTATCCTTTTTATAGGCCCTGCAAGCTCAGACCATCTACTCTCAAGACCACATTTTGAGTACATTCAAAAATATGGTCCTTTCATTTATGGCTGAAGACACACAATCACCTGTATAGTGATGTTGAAATAGATGCCAGAATTCTTGAACTCTGTTCAGTTGATGATGTGATTCCAGGGTCAATGGAATACATGGCTCAGGGTCATGAACAAGATGCTTGAGGTGTGTTTTTGGAAGAAACTCCCAGTGTGACAGTCAAGTTTTCTTGGGCTTAGATTTACTTACTTTACTTACCTTTACCTACCCTCACTTTCTTTAGCTTAAGTTCGCATTTTTGCTGCTTACTTAAGCATGTATCTCTTTCACCAGTGTCAGTACCAGTCTGACTGACAGTTCTCTTTTGATGATACATTCTACTTTCTGAGCACTGAGCCAAGTCAGAATCCCATGGGCTGAACATACTGCTCTCCACTCAGCAGCTTGGCCAGCTGTTTTGAGATTCCCACACTAGCTTTTTAGAACATCCTGCAGATTTCCTGTCAACTTCGACCATTTCTGGTGCTGACACTGATGTCCATCCCCCATTGTTATTATAAAAGATGGGGGTATCAGATGCTGAGTGTGTCAGACTTTCTGGTAGGGCATTCACTGCTGCTGTACTGTGAAATCTGATATCAAACTCTAGCAGTTTGGAATGCAAGTCTGATTTAATTGTTCACCATGGAGGGGATGTTGTGAGCAAGTACAAGAATCCTGACTTGCTACCAGGTATCTATCCAACTCTTTCCCCCCCTTGGCATTGGTAGGTTTGAATCAACACGACGTCAGACAGCTCTAGCTCTTGAACAGCAGGTCCAGTATTATTTCAACTTGACTGATGGATCATTTTGTTATCATCACTCTTTTTTATTTATGATTCTAAACATGATTTAGAGATGGTATGGGAATCTCAAAACAGCTGGCCAAGCTGCTGAGTGGAGAGCAGTATGTTCAGCCCATGGGATTTTGACTTGGCTCAGTGCTCAGAGAGTAGAAAGTATCATCAAAAAAGGACTGTCAGTCAGACTGGTACTAACACTGGTGAAAGAGATACATGCTTAAGTAAGCAGCAAAAATGCGAACTTAAGCTAAAGAAAGTGAGGGTAGGTAAAGGTAAGTAAAGTAAGTAAATTTAAGCCCAAGGAAAACTTGACTGTCACAATGGATGGCCTACCTTGCACCATTCACAAAGCGCACTTCCATTCCATTGCTCATGAACTGACTCAGGCATCCTCTTCTGTTCTAGAGCATCTCACCAGCAGACTCAAACAAGAGACAAAGTTTCAGAGTTAGTAGCAGAAGAGAAAAATGCTCTCAGCCTTCTCAGAAAAGGCAACACCATTGCTGCTCACATGCCTGGCTTTCAAGCAGCCAAAATTTTCATCCACAATGAGATCTGCAATTACTATGGTTGCTTTAATCTCCCTCATATTTTCCTCACTTTCAATCCCAGCTGTGCTCACAGCCCCATTTTTCAGGTGATGTACAGAAGTATGACTGTCAATTTGTCTCGCAGATTCCCCCACTTGGTATCTGCTCTGGAACATGCAATTCATATGGCACAAGATCCAGTTGCACCATCTGGTTTCTTCATATTCTCCATGCAATGCCTGTTCTAATATCTCTTGTGGATTTTGAGACTGGTCACTTCACACCATGAGGGAAGGTATCTGGGTTCATTTGCAAGCATTTCAGAATTTACAGGACACAGTGTTTTGCATGGTCATTATTTGATATGGTTGCAAGATGGTATCAATCCTTCTGACCTGCATACTTGTCTATGTGATGATGAGTCATTCCCCACCATCTACCTGATGTCGAAGTGCCTCTTGGTGCAAATTTTGAGTCATGAGTGCAATGTCCTGTCTTGCCTGTCAACACTGATGAATTTGAGGTGCAAAACATTCTGAAGGATTGGGATAATGTCTTCACATCCAAAACTTTTCCATGTGGTCAAGTTTTGCAATGCTATCATTGTCAAGCAATGTGTCACAAGCATGGCAATGAAGATCATTGTAGGTCCCTCTTTCCACACACGCTTGTAGATAGGTCTTACTTTGATCCACAAACAAACTCAGTTGTGCTTGACTGTTGTAATGCTTTGGTTAATTAATACAATCCATATGTTCTCATCTTTTGTTGCCATAACCACGATGTCAAGCACTTACTAAACACACTCCCTTCTTTCTTGAGCAGTTGTGTGTCTGCCACACTCTCCAAGTGATATGGCCTTGCAATCAGCAAAGATTTTGTTGCACAAATACCTTTCCAAATTCACCCAACAGCAACAGATCCATGCACAACAAGCAGCTCAGTACATTCATGGTATGGATGACAGTATTCCATCACATGAAACAGCTCCTATGATATCATCCACCCTTCTTGCCATCACAAAGACAATATTGATGATACCAAGCATGCTGATGATAAAGACGACAATGTGTAATACACTCACCTCCACATCCCAATGGACAGGAATGGCAAGCTCATTGAGATGAACCAGGTACACTGTTTGTAAAGGAAAGGCTAGATATATTGTTTGGAGGAATTATGCTGATATATTCAGGCCAAGATAACAACACAATAAGATCATCTAATGACAGCAAGTAGTGATTGTGATGTAATACAACATGAGATGAAAGGAATGAAAAGAATAGGGGTGTACATTGATTGTAACAGTAGCAACATGTCAAGGGAAACTAATCAAATCACAGTAAGTATGTACTGGACAATTACAGCATTCCCAGTGTTCCAATTTGAAACTTGAAACTTATCAGAGGTGGTGTTATATATATGAAACCATGGCAGTAATACCCCCTGCTACACACAAAGTATCAATATTGTCCTGCAGGTCCTCCAGCTTTGCAGGATTCAGCTCTGGCAGACTGTGAAATTCTGCTGTGATGGGAGGGAGAAATACAGTGTGATAATCAAGCTGCTCTGGCTCTCATCCTCTTAAACTGCAAAAAAATGTGCAGGAAGATTTAAACACATCCATCCCTGTGAGTACACAACAGGACTCTCTTTCTGACAAATATTGCATTTTGTCGTTGTGATGGTGTTTAACAGTGATGACTCCTGCCTGAAAATAATTAGACATAATGGAAGACATGCATAGCATATTGATATACTCAGTGTCGAAAGATCAGAGAACTACTCAAGCTTGAGCAATATGGTAATACAAGAAACTCTGGAACTCACCTCTAATTGCATTGAAACCCTTATACTTGTATGTTGTCCACCACAGATCACCTTGTCCTTTGCACCACCAGAAGGCAAACTTCCAGTGGACAACCCCACTGGTGCGTGTAGGTTAATACTCCACTGCAATTCAAGTCTAGTTGCTGGTATAAGGAAGTGCAAATTGGATAGATTATATCACATGTGTGTGATATCCAATAGGATCCAAGGACAACAAATGTGTGGCTGGACTCATTAAGGTCAAAGGGAAAAAGAGCATACTCATTATTGGCTAGAATAACCAATGGTTACCTGTTTTTATAATTCTTGAGTAAGGCGTGGACAGATTTGTCTGTGACTTCTTGATCCTTTGCCTGTTGAAACTGAGCAGCACCAACACTGTTGGCCAGAACATTTTTAGCTTTGCCTCCACTGTGTGTACATGTATCATTATCATAAACCTGATGGGAGCAGTGTGTGACCAACTGACCCATGCGAAATCATCAACAATCTATCAGAATAAAAGAGATTGCAGCTGACTCCATAATGTTGGTGATATCAATGTATAACAAAATCCCTTACTGGTGATCTGCCCAACAGATAGCCATGGACAATTCCATTTGAGTGATAGACTCCGCTGTGGTAGCTTTGGAAGTAAGACAGTGATTCACAAACTTCTTGGCAGGACTATAGAATGATTAAGGGAGTCATTATGCTCATACAATGTATTGCATACCTCAGCCCAAATTGGTGGGAATCCTGATAAAAGAGGTTTGCCAATTGTTGCACTATCTTTGGATGCTCCTGTGTAGCCCACCACATTTGCAACTTCATTGACAATATGGCTTTTTCTGGCCACCTGTAGTGGCAGTAGGCAAGTATACTGTGCAGGTGATAAAACCACCCCATCCTGGATGTAATACTGCCCTGCCTTGTCATCCTGTACCTCTGACCCAATATTCTTCTTGGATTTTTTGATGAGCGAGAGGAGTGTGGTGGCTCTGTGATCCTTGGCAGAAGCATCACCTGCCTGCACAAGCATACCCTGGAGTCCATGCACAGAGTATTATGATATGTCTCAAAATCAACTGTGGCCTACATCCAGGCTCCTTCCCAACCACTGCTTCAAGTGTGAGGGTACATCTGAGGTCACATGATACAACAAAATTTCAAACCCAGCATAACCTTATTCCCCTCACACTCTCAGTAGCGGCTGGAAGATAACATTTGTAAATAACATCAGCCACAGTGGCTGAACCAGTGGAACACAAATTTTATTCATGTAGAATGAACTTAGGGTTAGAAAGACAGGTATTTTTTGTATTAGAAAATTCATGCTACATAGACATAGCAACACACATTGGCCATTAATGGCTTCAGCCGCTCCTATTCCATCTCTCACTACTAGTTCAGATATTCCTTCCTTAGGTTAGATTCAGTCTGTCATGCAGCAATAATTTGGAGTCAGACCATGTTTATGGCAAGTGAAGGTTGCACAAGCACTGCTAAAGGGTGATCATGATATGCTCTGTACTGCAGGCACAGGAATGGGCAAGACACTTGGTTTTTGGATACCATTGTTATTCCAGCAGGGCATACAAATTGTCATCACACCTTTGAATATTCTCAGCAAGCAGAATGCTGTGTCACTTGCCAAGGCAGGCATACAAGCTATCTCAATAAGCACCAAGACTGCAACTACTGCAAACTTCACTGTGAGTCTGATCTCTAACTGCAAAATTTTACTCACCAAATAATACCCAAAGGCTATTCATGCACTCCAAGCGGTACCTGTTAGCCCTGAACAGATTATGAAGCCAAATGGAGAGTTTGAATGGCTACTAAAGGATGACTTGTTCAGCTCTTGGATTATCAGTATCATCATTGATGAGACACACTGTCTTACTGATTGGGGAGAATTTTGGCCAGAGTACAAGGAGCTTGGATGTCTCCACTATATCTTGCCTCCAGCAGTCCCTATCATGATTACATCCACCCCACTCACCAAACATGCACTCTCTAATGCAGTATGCCTCCTTCACATGTGGGCTGACAAGTTGACTACTATCTGGCATTCTATGGATTGACCAAATATTAAGCTTGAAGTCAAAAAATAATTCACACACTTCACAGCTATGCTGATTTAGCATTCTTGATACCAGCTGGGTAGAAACAAAGTAATCAACCACCTCCTAAATTCCTCATTGTCTTCAATGACATACAACATGCATGCCATTAATGCTGCACATTCACTTTGCAAGTATCTGCCTTCTGAGTTCTGCAACAAAATCAAATGGTTTAACTCAGACATGTCAAGTACTTACAAGGATGCAGAGCTTGAGAACCTTGTATCAGGAGAAACATGGGGGTTCTGTACAACTGACTCCTTCAGAATGGTAAGGCACGAAAAGCTTAAATCAAACAATGACTTACTGACTGTTTAAAGGGTATGGACATTCTTGATATTGAGATCATCATCCAATGGTGGGCAATGTACCACCTTACTACATTATGGCAATGTTTGGGGTGTGCTGCACAAAACAAGCAGTTGATGGGCACAGGGTTGCTCTTTGCTGAGAAAGAGTACTTTGATGATGAGCGGAAGGCTCAGGCCATCAGAAAAACACTATGTGAGAACACTCATAAACACCAAGCAATGGACTTACTGGAGGCAAGAAACAGTAAGCATCGCACAGTTGCTCTATCAGAAGTACCCACCAATGTCCCCCCATCAGCTTTGTCTGTTATGATCAAGCTTTGTCTGCAGCATACAAATGAAGCAAGTAAGTAATGTAGAACTTGGATTGGGGCTCGCACCAAGCCTGCTGCAACCAGTGAGCGTTCGTAGGTATGAGCTCACAGCAATCGATCTAGCTGTGAAGGCTATGATTGATTATCAACAATTACGATGGTAAAGTCGTCAATTGTTCTCTTTCAAGGCTAAGGACATTGGCAATGACAAGCTCCAATGAAGGTACTTGATAAGAGGAGAGCTTGCTTAGGGCTCAAGGAATAGATAGTATGAACCAAGTAGATTCAAGTTAGAGAATACAAGTGCTACCCATAAGGTATATATACCGTTGGAAGGGATAAGGGCAGGTCTGCCGTATTAATGGTAAGGGTAGAGGGCGAGTCGAGTCACAACGAGTCAAGATACCAAAGTAAGTAGAAAGTACTGGTTGAGTGGTAAGGGTAAAGGGGACATGAGTCATGGTGAGTCATGACAAGTCAGAATACCATAGTAAGTAGGAAGTACCAGTTACACAGTAAGGGCATAGGGTCGGTGAGTCATTGGATGAACTGAGGATAAGGTACAACCAACAGAACGGTCGGTGGAATGATAAAGAGAAAGAGATAGAACAGTTGAGAAGGAAAAGAGGGGTGATCACCCGAAGAGGAAAGAGTCCAGTGAGGGTGTGAGCAAGGAAAATGAATAGGGGCTAAACAAGCAAATGTTACTGTAACATCGTCCTCTCAAGTTGTCGATGATGAAGATTACAATATCAAGCTTGATGACACTGTTATACAAAGTGTGAATAGTTTGCAGGAATTGAAGGATGTAATGGCAAACACTCACCATGTAACCAGAGCTGAAAAGAGGAAGAAGAGGGAATTGGATCCTGGTATGGATTAACTTATTAATGCCAATAAATGTACAGGATTGATGTGCAGAAGGAAGGTCTTTAATGTGTGCTTTGATAATGAAGCAGCTGGTGAGAAATTTCAATTCAATTGAAATGGACTGCACTTACACCCTCTCAGACTTTGACCACCTCAATTGTGACCCAGAGCATATTATAGGCTGCTCACACTGCTTGGTTTTACAGCCCATGATTTGTTGTGACATTCACCATCCCAACCACTTTTCTACCTGCTCTTCTCCAACTGATGAACTCTCTGCCACATCCCAGCATTCCTGCATTCCAAAGTACAAACAAGAAGCATCTGACCTTGCACTGTTGGATGCCCTTTATGATTGGCATGAGGAGAAGACCATATCAATATATGGCTGGGCTCATCTCAGTGACCTCAGCCCTTCCCTTGTCCTACCCAATTCCATGCTAGATCACATCATTGACTGCATACATCATCACAAAATTCACAGTGTGCTTGAGCTGAAGAAGGAGACATGGTGGATGGATGCTGATAGGTTTGGAAATGAGGTCGTATTGCTTATTCAAATGCTTGCACCACCTGGTGCAAGCCCTTTTGCTATAACTCCTCTAAGCTGCACATCCAGCGCCACCAACACCAATGTTCCACCTTCAACACCATCCACACCATCTCCCTGTCTTGCTACAACTTCCAATGCTCCCAAGCCCAAGAACAAGTGTAGCACCTGCAGCCAAAAGGGCCACAATGGTGAGTGTCTCACTGTTTGCATTCAAATTTTCAAAAATATTCATTCATTAACAGCACACAATTGTGTTTGTCCAAGCCACCCATCTCATGCTAGACTAAACAAAGAAAATAACATCACATTCTGCTTAAACCAGCTCAACTAATATATCATCTAAATTGGCTCTACCCTCTCCTGCATCCATGCCCTCTTCTTCCTCATCTACCTCACCTTGTGCTGCTTTTTCCATCATCTCCCTTCCTTTGTCAATCAAGTCAACAATCAGAAACTGGCTTTTCCTGCCAGGCGATGGGATGTATGGGGATTGTTTGGCAAGCTGAATAGATAGTAATTCAAACATTTTCCTCATATTTGGTCCAGTGTGTTTCACCATGAGGTGTGCAAAAAGAAAATTCTTTTATATCATTGTCTGAGCATTCTGGTATGCATGTACCAGTGGGGACTCGCAGAAGTTCTGTGACTGTGTGTATATTCCCACTAACAGTGAAATTATTGATATCCATTGCCTGAGCAGCTGTAATTGATGTTTTGTGTAAGGGAATTTCTTTGATAACTTCAGGTGGGGGTATCTCCAACTTGAAGTGGTGGGAATACTCTAGTCTGTGAGTGCATAGATTCATCAAGAATAACCATGCATTGAAATGGTGTGCAAACACAACAATGGCTAGACATTTGTTAAAGTGCCTAACCAAAAATATTGTTGTAGGTCGATGCTCTGCCTAGCTGCTACACTTGCAAGCAAAAATGTTCGACCCTAAAGGAATTACTACTGAGAACAGCTGATGATACTAAAGACCCGAAAGTGCGCAGGTATGTAGAGCATGGGAATGTGGAAGTGCGGTCAATGAGCAATTGATGAGCAGTTGATGCGGAAGTGTGAGATGCTAGGGTAAGGGGTAGGGAAGTCTTAAGGAATGGCACAGGTAGCAAGTGAGGGCAAGGGTATTGATTGCATGGGTAAGGAAAGTCAAGGTAAGGTGTCCAGGTATAAGGTAACCAATAGGGGCTAAAAAGCGCGCACTAATGGTGACTGCTCCTAAGTAAAACCTAAGGGAAGGAAATACTGTAGAAGGGGAGTAAATACAAAGTAGTCACCCTAGGCACTTTATACTAGCTAAACCCTCTCAGAAATGGAAGGGACAGGACAGATGGGCAGTAAGAATATGTAAAGACATGTAATAAGACTGCAACACTTGTTACAACACACAAGGCAAGGCAAAATACATACCAATGAGGTAGGATGGACAATGGACTGACATGGGACATCTGTAAGGTAATCCAAAGGCGTGGGAAATTGAATGCAGGTACCCGTGCAGTGCAGGAGTGAATGTGCAGGTCTGCAGAGCGTGGGAATGTGTGTCTGGAGCAGGTTGAGTGCGGGAAAAGCAATCAATGCAGAGTGGTCATGTATTGATGCACCTTTCCATCACCTATATCAAAAGATGGCCATTGCAAGCCTAGCAGGAATATGATCGTAACAATGGTCTTGTCTTGTTAGGTTTCAGGTGACTTTGGACTCAGAGTGGATGGATAGAAGATCCTTCCAAGTTTTATGGGCAGGTAAGTCCTGTTCTATTGCTTGAGTATTCAAAGCTGACTTCCTCCAGAGCTCCCCAGAGCACTTCAAATCATCAATAGTGATATTATGTCAAAGCGGTAACATCAGGCCAGAGGTAAGGTGTTTCAGTGAATTTTTGATTTTTCCACAACAGGAAGTGAGATTTGAGGTCAATATCAAAATTGTCATAGGCATATGATGCAAGGAGACTTCAACCAAGTTCTTGCATCACATTTTGTGATTTTGCTGACATAGATTTCACTGCAGTATGAATTGCATCTGTGGACATTGATATTCTGATGTGAGTGAGAGTGTCAACTACATTTTGCAGTGTGTGCATTGACTGCAAGAATATCCTGATGATGCTCTGTAGTGCATTGGATTTCCAGTTTGTACTCTGCATCATGATAGTCAAAATCATGACCTTTTTCTGATTTAATCAATATCTAAGATGTTGACATGTGAGCAAGGCATTATACTGACAATGTTAAATATAGTGGCACATCATTTGTATGAATATCTCACTTTGAGGCCACCATATCCCCTTCAGAGGTGAGTGCATTTATGAATCCCTCAAGTTCTATTGCTTCCACCTGATCCAAATAATAGTCATCAACAGCTTCTTCCACATCACTTATGACCATGTCTTTGTTACTTCCCAACCTCTCATCCTCACCAAGTAGAGCCCCAAGCAATCCCATAATCCTGGTGCATTAAACTTCATTGTCTGTATGGTCTCCTCGATACTGAACTCTTTGAGTTGTTGCATGTTTGCACTCAATGTCCCAAAGTGCAAACCACTTTCTTTGGAAGCCATGGTGCACACTTCACAGACATGTACCCCTTGTATGAGTTGGGTGACTGTCATATCCCATATGGTGGACCTAGATCCCATAATATTCCCACACCTTCCATGCCTATTTCCAGACCCCACATCCAACTCATGCCCAGATCCCCTTCCACTGTGTGCTCCACACCTCAACAGGATTAGCTCCACTACAAATTTACCCCTGAGCTCTGGACATCTGGATCTTCACTACTAGCCTAATCTGTACACCCCTATCCTGTCCACCATATGCACATTCCATCCAGCAAGACATCTGGACTTTACCTCCTCTTGGATTCCAGACTACATCTACCATCTCACATATCTCAGTCCTATTTCTGCCTTGCCTCCCAGATCTCTGGACCTTTGTCTGTTAACTGTTACTATCTCTGGACCTATTCCCACCCTCCATCCAAGATCCTGCGCCTATCCCCATTTAGGCATCTCTGCCTTTCCAGTTCTCAGTGATCTCTGTTTCCATCTTGCTGATTGATCCTTGTACTGGTTTCATCTTTAAGTTCATTTACTTATGTTCCATCTCACTTACTAATGTGTTTCTGCATGCTTGTACATAGCCTTACTTCTTTGCTTACTGATCCTCTTGGATAGCCTCTAGTATATAACCCCTGTACAACTCCAGTAGACAGTCTGAATATCAACTTAGACTTGCCTAATCTTCTCTCAGACTTTGGTCCACCTAAGTTCTGTCCTATCCATCAGGCCCAGGGATTGATTCCCTAGGCTGAAACCTTGCCTTTCTGGTACTTACCCTCTTGCTGGACTTAGGTCCAATTCCTGTCTCTCTGACTCCACCTAAGGATAGTCTACCTCTGTTTGCTTCTACATTGGACTTCGTCAAATGTACCCCCTATTCCTTCTGGACCTCCTGTCCTCTGTATCCCCAGACATCCTGTTCTTTGTACCTCTGGACATCTTGTTTTCCTGACCTCTGGACCTCCTATCCTTCCATCCTGTTTCTCATAGAGATATTACCTTGGGGTCTCTCCACTTCTTGTGCAGTGGAAACTCCTCTGAGTATTTCCTGTACTCCTCTGGAACTCTTCTGTGCTCCTCCAGAAGTCCTCTCACACTCCACCAGAGTAGCCAGCCTCTGGAGGTCCTTCAGACTTCATCTGAAATGAAGGGCACATACTCAGGTAAGGGGCACAGCATACAAGCTGAGGCTAAGCCCCTCTAAGTCAGTCTCTCTCTCCCTTGAGCATGGTTTTTAACAGTCACTGTGTGTGCTGAGTTATTTGGTCTCAAAGGATGCTTGAGAATTGTACTGATTAAGCCTTCTGAATGTACAAGGAGTTCACAGACACGTGAATGGTGGTTGAGCTCCTGGCAAGTGAGTAGCATCAAGAAAAATTGAAAAGGCGTGATTCCAGCATCTTCAAATGTAGTCAATATGGATTGAAATGAATGTTTTATTGTATGACTGTCAACATCAACTGTGACATTGTGCTACTGTCCTGGACTCAATTGTAGCATGAATTTTCTAATACAAAAAGTTCCTGTGTCTTTCTAACCCTAATTTTATTTTATATGAATAAAATTTGTGTTCTGCTGGTTCAGCCACTGTGGCTGATGGTGTTCACAAATGTTATCTTCCAGCTGCTGCTGAGAGTGTGAGGGGAATAAGGTTATGCTGGGTTTGAAATTTTGTTGTATCATGTGACCTTGGATGTACCCTCACACTTAAAACAGTGGTTGGGAAGGAGCCTAGCCTCCATCAGGCCATATCACTCCATAGGAAAGCAGAGCATCCAATTTATACAATGTCTTTGGTGATTTGAAATGTGATCTTGTGTTTGAGCTTGGCTTTCTCTTGGCTAGCAGTGTTGAAGTAGGCATTTTTGTGGTCCATCCACAGATGCACATCGAGGGCTAGGGATCTGAAGCCCTTACTTGTCTGACATGCCTCTAATGAAATATCAATGCTAGCTGCACATGGAACACCCAGCAAATCCCTTCAAAGTATCATGACACCACATGTGTTAGCATCAGTGAACCTTAACTGGAGAAGAGTCACACTGTGCAACCACAGTCTATGGTCAAGCCTCATGATTGATCTTCAGAAGCTCATTTGCGACCAAACAAGTGGGGGTTGACACCATTGACCACCATGCTTGCATGTTCAGGACAGTCCTTGTATCAGCAGAGTGGCTCACAAAGGAAGACATCAAGAAGCATGACTCACCCAGTGATATCCTGGACAATGGCCATGTGCAAGGAGATCCAAAGGATCCTGAGAAGATGGTGACAGGCTAGAAGTGGGTCAGATGGTGGAGTTCAGTGACTAGATATGCAGAACAGTGCATACCTTATTTACTCTCCAACTTCATCATTTAAATAGTCTTTAGGTTCATTACCTGCCTGAAAATGGTTTGAGACTGTCACACAAGAGTTATGACAGTTTGTAGACTTACACAGTCAAATAAGATAGTGGTCCATAAGGCTAATTGGTTCCAAGATAGAGAGGAGCCTGAGGAGGCACACATGAGGCATTTTGAAGAGGTTGAAGAGTTGCAGAGGCAGCATGAGCACATTGACACATTGGAAGAAGAGGTGCAATGTCAGCAGGCTATGCTTGACATCCTCAATGACAATGTTGAGTGGCTAGAGGCAGATAATGATCACTACAAGAAGGACATTGATGGATTCATTAGCAGAGGCATTCATGATGGTATGGACCACAGAGAGATGCTTGCATCAATGAGAGACAAAATTGTTCAACTGTTTGACAATGCTAACTTGTAATTTTTGCTTTACACATTACCTGTTAAGGTCATACTCAAGGGCTAATGGATCCTAAGGGCTTTGGCCTCAGCTCATGCACTGTGCCCCTTACCTGATTATTTCAGAAGGGCAAGATTAACACATCCAGAGGATCAGACAAGTAGCATAGCAGATCTGGATGACTTCCGGATGCAGGATAGGTATTGCAGGGCTAATTTGGACAAGTCCAGACTAGAAACTAATGGTATTGGACTGTTATAGACAGAGGTGGATATAGATAGACTATAGGAATCAATCCTAAGTCTTGGAGGGTGACGAGAGTAGAGATACTCAAGTCCAGAGGACAGGAATGAGTAGAACTAAGATGATATTTGAACTGAGGTGCTACAGAGAGCTACAGGAGGTTATATACTATAGGTATCTAATGGAATGATCAATCAGCAGGGTCTGAGGCTATGTACAAAGCATATGGATGGTCTATTGGTAAGTAGAAACAGACCACAAATAATGAAACAGAAATGAAGCATAGGTAACAGATCAGTGAGTAGGACAGATATACAGATAACCGAAATACCAGAGTTAGGGGATTACCGAAAGGAGACAAGCACTGATTGTGGACCAGACTGGACAAGTGGCAGATTGGATGATGAGATGTTGGAGGGAGATAAGATGTGGATCAGATCTGAGATCTGGATATGTGGATATGATATTACCCCTTCTCCTATGAATGACTGATCATTCAACATATTTCATTGTCTGATAGGGAAAACATCATTTGCTACCTGTTGTAACTATTTGCCTATGAACAACTTGCAAAAAACTTCATTTACATCTTATTGGACCCCCTCCTCTACAAACAACTCATCTTATGAAAAATTGATGCTCTCATATGCAAAGTGATACAAAAGTTTTCATTTCTCTATGAGAACATCAATGTTTCATAAGTGGAGTACCTATGTGAGTGTGCCATAACAGCTGTGAGTCTTGTGGGTGCATGTTGCTGTATCAAGTATGAGTATTAGTTAGGTTTACTAGTACAGCACATCCACACTACAAGTCACCCAATTTTTTGCATCCCAGTACAATATTTGAATCAGTATATAGAGCATTGAGTATCTAGTAGTACAGGATTTGTTCAAAATAAGAGGACTGCCTGGGCGTTTAATACTAGCACTTGTGGTCACCCTGGTCTATCAATTAATCATCAGCCACAATGTTGTAAGGCATAATGACATACCTTGTCAATAGCATTAAGAGCTCCTTGTTCTGCATTGGACTCCAGCTGTGTAAGTTGCAGGAGGATGGGTGATAGTGGTATTGATGCATCATGTGGGGATATTTGGTCAGACATGAGAGTAGTTGATTCCTGGTCCAATAAATGTGCACAGGTGTTGGGGCTGTGCTCAGTTTTGACAGTAAGTAAAGGAAACCATACTAGAAAGCCATGGATGTGTGGAATAAACATGACACATATCATTCTGGCTGCTTGAGAGGTAGTTTAAGCCAGATAGTGTGATATTTACCCATAGCCAGAGTCCACAAGGAGGGAATACACTGTCCAATTGCAAGAGATATCTGAACAAGTAGAATCCCACATCAAGTATCTTGAGAATGATCAGGTCTGTAATTGTGTGGAGCCCGAGGAGATCATTATTAATGATTTGGAAGAAGAGGTTCAATATGAAACTGTGATAATTGACATCTGGATGGACAATGTGGAATAACTTGACACACAAACAAATTCTCAGAGGAGGGAGATAGAGGACCTTATCAGCCTCCACATTGAAGATGAGATGGAGAGGTACCAAGCTGATGCTGTTGTTAAAGACAAAATCATCAACTTCATAGATCATGCACTCTTATAACCTGTTGGTTGGATACATGTGTTCAATATTAAATGTTTCCCATACCACTGACTATTACTGTACAATAGTCCTTACAACTTACTTCAGACACATGTAATTCATATTCAACTGTCCCAATATCATTTTTGAAGGTATATAGCACTTTCATTGAAGCCTGAATGTTGGTTATCATCTCACAAGATCTTATTCTTCATTCAGGAGAAATGAATATGCATAAGGCAGCACAGTCTCCCCAAGCCTGAATACTGTGTAAACTCTCTAGCCCCTCTTCATATACTTTGCAATGGTGTCCAGATGGTGCCTCAGTCTGGGAATCTTGAGCATACTTCACTCCTCAAATGTCACAATAGGATAGAAAGAATATCTTGCACTAAAAGTAATAATATTTATCATGCAAGCTAGAATAAGGAACATTAAAACACATGCAAAGGAAAATAGTTAATGTTGACAAACTCAAGTGAAATTTCATAATAGTTTTAATTGGGTTGTAGATCATCTTGATGACTTGAACCTTGAGCTCTGTGGTCTCTCCATGCATAACCACAAACTGCTTGATCATGTAAATAGCAGCAATATCAGGATACCACAGGAGGTCTAGGCCAATGGCTGGGGCTTGTGGAAATCTGGTTGCTGTACCATCCCAATCAGCCAAAATGTGATTGCACCAGCCCTCCTCTTGATGCCAGCTGGGTTCAAAATCATACCCAGCAGACTCATGCCATTCCATCAACTCATATATGTGGCCAGGATAAGCATATAGGTCGAGATCTGACTCATGGTAGAAGGTACAAGTGAAAAACTGGAGTGCATTTGACCCTGACATTACTAGACCAGTGCATGCTTGGAGGGAGCAAAACTAATTGAAATCCAGGAAATAATAGGACAGATGTTGTATGTGTGCTAGCAAAAGTGAGTTACTGTTAAGAACCATGTTGCTCAAAGGAGAGAGAGACTGACTCAGAGGGGCTTGGCCTCAGCTCATACACTGTGCCTCTTACCCAAGTATGTACCCTTCATTTCATATGAGGTCTGATGATGGTCCAACAAAGTCCAGAGGACTTCTGGAGGCTAGCTACTCTGGTGGAGTGCTAGAGGACTTCCGGAGGAGTGCGGGAGAGTTCCAGAGGAATGCAGGAAGTGCTCAGGAGAGTTCCCACTGCAAGGTAATACTTCTACAGGAAACAGGATGGAAGGATAGGAGGTCTGAAGGTCCAGAGGACAGAAGGACAGGAGGGCAGGAGAACAGAGGACAGAAGGACAGGATGTCCGAAGGTATGGAAGGAACAGGGGCTACATTGGATGAAGTCTGATGTAGAAACAAACAGAGGTAGACTACCCTAAGGTAGAGTTGGAGGGACAGGGATTGGACCTAAGTCTGGAAAGAGGGTAAGTGCTGGAAAGGCAAAGCTCTGGCCTAGGGAATCAATCCCTAGGCCTGATGGATAGGACAGCCTTAGGTGGACCCAAGTCCAAGAGAGGATTGGGCAAGTAGAGCAAAGTCTAAGATGATATTCAAACTGAGGAACTACAGGAGTATCTACAGGGATTATATACTGGACAATATCTGAGGTGATCAGTAAGCAAAGGAGCAAGGCTATGTACGAGCATGTGGAAACACATTAGTAAGTAAGACAGAACATAAGTAAATGAACTTGGAGATGAAGACTCATACAAGGATCAATAAGCAAGATGGAACAAGAGATAACTGAAAGCCAGAAAGGCAGAGATGTCTAAATGGGGATAGGTGCAGGATATCGGACAGAGGGCAGGAATACATCCAGAGATAGTTATGGTTGATATCTGGAGGTCTGGAGATCTGAGGATCTGGAAGGTGAGGTGGATACAGGACTGGGATATGATGAGGTGGATATAGTCCTGAATCCGAGACGAGGTGAAGTCTGGATGTCTTGCTGGATGGAGTGCATGTAGGGTGGACAGGATAGGGTAGTATGGATCAGGCTAGCAGTGAGGATCTGGAGGTATGGAGCTCAGGGGTAAATCTGGAGCAGAGTTGATCCTCCTGAGGTGTGGAGCACACAGCAGAAGGGGATCTGGCAATAAGTTGGATATGAGATCCGGATGTAGGCTTGGAAGGCATGGGAATATTATGGAATGTGAGTCCAGATTGTGGGATATGACAGCTACTTGTACCATGTGTCATATGACATGTGTGTGACAGCCACACAAGGGTATGAGGGCTCATGTAGCAGAGTATGAGGTCATAGATAGAGGCACTGGAAAAGGCTTGTCTCAAGCTACAAGCCCTTGTGGTAGGACATTTGAACAACTCCAATTGCATCAGATTAATCCAAATGTAGTTGGAATTAGTGGATGAAATAGGCTAATCTGCAAGGCCTCAAACTTATTTAAGGTCTTTGTGTTACAGTTCTCCCTAGCACCTTCACCTTTTCACCCTTTCACCTTTTCATGATGTCACCTTTCATACCTTCACAACTTCACCTTATCACAGATGACATCATACATTCTTTAGTGTTCCATCATATTCTATGGTACAATCTTACATAACATTATATCATTGGCTAGCTACATTAGAGCTCCACCTGAATACCATTATATATACATGTAGTTACACTCATGTATTCCCTATCTTGACCTTAGCAATACTAAGCTTGTCTCTTGGTAGACTTGAGTGGGGTATTCATTGTTAAGCATAACACCTTGAGCTCATCAATACCATTTAAATGTGCTGAGTGTAGATCCTGCAAAAGTCTAGACAATCACTCCTGATGGAGGCATTGACTCAATAAGGTTCTATCCTTAGGCAATCCTGATCATTGATTTCTTTATTGGAATGATTCTATCCAAGTTCATAATAAATAGGCTCTCTTTGTAAAATTGTTAGATGTGCAGTCTATGGGGTCTTGAAGTATAATTACAGCTTACCTATTTCCTTGTCAGCCCTAATAAAAGCTTGATGCATAGCCTTTTTTGAAAATGATATATTGTTAAGAAAAATTCCTGTAGTTTGAAAGGCAATAGCTTGGTATATGTGGACCAATTTGGTTTGTGGATGATGATAGATACAGCCATGCAATTGGTAGTCATCTTGTTTAGACCACAATGTGTCCTACAATATAATGTGTTAGCATTTTATATCAACCTCAGCAATTAGCAAGGCCACACACCATAACAATCATGATATTAGTGCATGCCAAATTGAGACCCACCACTCCCACTCCAGACAAAATCAAGATGCAAGGTCCACTTTCATGAGTCAAAACCCTAAAATCCTCTAATACCATCTTGTACCTGTGCATAGGCATCTTACCATTAAGTTCCACTGTCAGAATCACATGCAGATCCAGAATCTTTACCATTGTGTTGGTAGGGGTTACACAGGGTCAAGCTAGAAGCTTGTAGGTAGGAGGTGTTGCAGGTGTCAGGGGTCCTGTTAGAGTCTTAGCAGTAGCTTCTGTGGCTTGTAGTCTACACAATAACCAGGTTCTGTGTCCTTGTGTGTTGCTAGTCTTGTTTGTTGTGCACCAACTCACTATGTGGTCAATGTGCCAAATTTGTCAATGTATTGCATCATTTCCTATTTGATGTAGATGACAGAATCTCTCTTTCTGTTAAGGTCACATGCTTAAGGGGGGTTGGATCAGAAGGGCTTGGTCTCAGCTTGTATGCCGTGACACCATTTGAGCAACAAGTCCAGTGATGACTCCTCAAAGGAGGATTCCATCAAATAATAGGTAGAAGAAACTGTGAGTGTTGCTATTGTGATATGTTACATAGACTCTCAAGTCTTGTAATGTGTCAACAAATGTAAGGTGAAAGGTTGGATCAACAGGCATCATCTGTAAGGTTCTATGATTCTCCAATTTATCCAGAGTCCTGTCTCTCATTTCTTGTTGTGTCCTTGCTCTCTATGGGAGCAACAGAGCAGTTTGCTCTGACACTTACTATGTCTCATTTACTTCTTTGCTCTCATGTCCTCGCTCTCCATTGGAGAAACAAAGCAGTTTTCTCTGGGGCTTGCTATCACTTATTTCCCCATTGCTTCTGTGTCCTTGCATTTATCAAAATTTGTAACTTAAGCTGATGAATAATGGGTACATAGGCTATCTCCATGTCAATACAAATATACTACCTGTGTCAGGCTACTGAGACTAACAGAAGGGTAAGCTCATTATCATAGTACATGTGATCAATAGCTGTTAACATACTTTTTCTGTTTTGCATCTAGTGCATGCCAGTAGTTGAGTATAGTTAAAATCATCATGACACCCTTCTTCAACTCCTTTGATACTGACCATGATTCAGGCAAAGGTCACCAGGCAAGGACAGGATGGCCACAATGTAGAACCTAATTTCTTCCATAGAATGCATCAAGTGTGTGCAATATCATTGACATTAGGACAACCACAGTTTAATGAAGAAAGTCATTTGAGAATTGTACAATAGTGTTACTCAAAACAAATTTTGAAACTTTGAGGACTCACTTAGATGCTGGCTAAACACTTCAAACTCCTGGCTAAAGTTTGCTCAAGAACAGTTGAATCATGCTTAGTGCACTTCAGCATGAAATCAAACATTTAAAGACTTGGGATTTTCAAAGTGTGCTATGTACATATGTTTTAGAGAGTATGGGGTAACCAGGATGTAGTTCACAATGAGTCATAGATAGGCTTAGCATTTTGAATGACAGTGCTAATTGAATTATTAAAAAAAAAACAAAGTCCCCATAAGAATAAATTCAGCTGTACATATGAAGTGCTGGAGAGAACAAGGTAAGTACTAGAGGAAGGTGGGAGAGGAGGATAACCCTCAGGGACAAGGTCTGCATGCCTCTAGGGAGATGCAAGACCAAGTGAAAGGTGGAGATGGTGTATCACAGCCATGGTCATGCAATAGTGCTGGTCAGGTGGAACATATGTGGGACTACAATAGATTTCCTATAAGATAAGGGTTAGCTGCAACTTGCAATAAGAATAAAAATTACTTACCTTGGGTGGATGACACCTGGAAATTTGATGTTCTGCTCAGTGCTGTGAGTGAGCATCAAGGTTTGAGAGGGAGGTCAACAATGATGCCAACATGCTCAGCATGAGACAAAGGTTTGGAACTTGCTGAAAATTGAAACTCCAAAACAAAGTATGTCACATATACACAGAATGGATAGAAGTTTTGATCCCCCTGACCCCTGCCTCTGCTGTAACCATGCCTCATGAATCTGCACATAAAGAACTCATGAATATTGTAGATCAGGCTGAACTTGCATTGGCCAAACCACAGTACCAGGACATCCTAGATGACTGGTCCGATTTTGGCAATGATTCTAGCTCTGGGAACTCACTCTCAACTACTACTTCTAATGATAATAGCACAATCAATCTGTCTTTTAGCTCCCCTTCCCCTTCCTCTCCCCTTTTCCCTATGACAGTGACTTCAGGTTCTTCTGGCAATAGCTCTATCTCTTCTGATGATGTTGCTTTGCCTTATGACCGCCTTCTTCACACCATTAATGCTCTTTGTGATGAGGTTAAGAGGGCTTGTGTATTGCACAAGCCTAATGAGCCTCCTCCATGAGCACCTCAGCTTCACATGTTGGTTTATCATGAAGAACATCGCCCTCACTTGTTTCAGCAGAAACTCTGTTAATCCTGAGATCTTTGATGATATCATCAATATATATCTGATCATCCCATCTTCCAAAACCAATCCAACAATCCTCAGCTCCCTGTTTCCATCCAACTGGCTATTTTTTTGAATTGGGCTGGCCATTATGGCAATGCAATTACCCTTGAGGATGTTGCTTAATAGGCAGGTGTCAGTGTTGGGTCTGTAGTTAATTGCACTAATTGTATGATGATTGTGGTACTTGATGCCCATAATCAGTTTGTCTGCTTTCCAGCAGCTAACTCTGAGGATACTGACCTAGCTTGCAAATTTGCTGAGTCATGTACCTGCCCAGAGTGGAAAGGTGGCTTTCTAGCCATTGATGGCTCAACTGTGGATCTTTTTACCAAACCTGGCTACTATGGTGAGATATTTTATGATAGGAAATCCAAGTACTCCCTTGGCTGTCAGGTAATTATTTTAATTCTAGGCAGTCATTTTGCCCCATAACCTTCTCATTGTATATTATTCTCTGGGTCATCCTGGGAGTGTCCATGATGTATTTGCTTTTTGATCTACTTATCTCTATGAAGAGCATGCTGACCTTCTACCTGATGGTCATTGGGTGTGGGCTGACAGTGCCTATCCATTGGAGCCATGGTGCATTGCCTCTTTTAAGAAGCCTTGCAATGCGCAGTTGACAAAGAACCAGAAGTCATTTAATTATCACCTCTCTAAGGGATGTTTTTTTTGAAGGGTCATATTTTAATAAATTGATTTTATTTATTTAGATCCGTGTTTGTGTTGAACACACATTTGCTGTTCTAAAGGGATGATTCCAGTCCCTTCGAGAGCTCATGTTCAGGATCCAGGCTGAGAAAGACCTTGATTTTGCTATACAGTGGATCAAGTATTGCATCATTCTGCACAACATGATTATTTGCTTTGAAATTGAGCATCGCAAGAAGGATGAAACATACAAGAGTTCTCTAAAGTGGGCCATGGAGAGGGGGAATATTTTATTGATCAAGAGATTAAGAGTCCAGATGGTAATGAAGTAGTTGGTGACAGGTCATATGAAGGCACTTCAGGTCAAGCTGCTCATACAAGGCTGATGGATGTACTCTTTGACAGTCCTCACTCAGGTGTATAATGTAGGGAAGGATGATAACCAACCACAATGCTTATTTGAACATGTACTACTACCAATACACCTGTACAACAAATGTATATACCTATGTAACATGAATGAAAGTAGCACAAGACATACAACATGCACATATTCAATTGAACAAATGAGTAACAACAAATGATGACAATGACAGTCATGATGGATAATGGTGACAACATGATGGAACAACTCATCCAGTTCCTCCATCTGATGCAGCCTTGGAAGACTGCATCATTTGGTGGAACTGGATCTTGAGGCAGAGGGTTTCTGCTTCCTTGTCAAGCACCAAGGAATGTGCTTGGTGGACCCAAATATCTGTCTCATGAAGCCAAATCTCAGCATCTTTGGCCTCTTGCAGGCACTGATGGCTGACCATGGCTTGGGATACTTTGTACTCCCAGGTAGTATGAAGCCAGTCATATTTCTTCACATCACAATTGTGCTCACTTTTGACTTCAAGCTTGGCAATGTAGCATTGATGTCTGCCCTTGTGGCATGACATCACACTAGAGTGCAAGCTCTCAATTTTGTCTCTCACCTGCTTCACCTGCTGTGACACGTCTGACTTAGCCATTTTCTTCTTCAAGCTGCTGGCACTATTTGGAAGTGATGTCTGAGGTGTTGGGGACATATGGTACTCCAATAATGAAATGGTGTTGTGTGAGTTTCAAAAGTTAATTTAATCAACACTAATATATTTAAAGCACCACAACTACTCATTCCCTAGATGCCTTTTTATGCACTGCAGCTGCTGCCTTAGTTCTTTGCACCTGAGTTTGGCATTCTTGCTGACTTCCCTCATGCATTCAAGATGCTGCTCCACCTTTCTGACATCTACCTCCAAATATTGCCTCTTCTTTGATTAATCTTTCTCTTCCTCCTGGCACTCACATCCATGTTGTTCAGCCATTTTCCCAGCAGTATCACATCACTTGAAGAATCACATGAACTTCCATGTGAATATGGAGGATTTTTATTTTGGATGACTGTGATATGATCACTTTTGGATTCTAAAAATTGGCAACATTGGGTAAAAATAAACATATAATTTGTGCACTGCTCATGGCAGGTGACACAAGCTTCATCTGGCTGACCTATGCAGGAGGCATAACCAGGGTCTCTTACTGTGTGTACTGGGGATGGCTGCATCTTCAAATGTTAAGCTAAGTGACTAACAGATTATCATGGCAGAGTTAAGTGAGTGATGACCTTGATTGATTAGCATGGGCAAATAATTTATAGTGGTGTTCAAATATGGATGTAGGCATAATGGTAATTTTAGATGCATTCTGTGGCCACTTCACCCAAGAGTAACAATGCCCTGTTAAATGTACATTCACTGGAAATTCCTGTTGAAGTGGACTGTAAGTCACTTTGTCAAGAGATATTCAGCCACAACATGCATCAGGAGTTAACAAATTATTATCCCCCCTGGTTATTCCAGCATTGTAAGATATTTACATGTAAGAAGGTCTGACAATATACCAATGATGTCACATTACATGCAAAGATCAATATACTTGACTGTGCTGTGCAACAAAAATAACATCTGGCCTCAGTGCATAAGGGAGTCCAAGAGATATAAGGTAACAGTAAGCATTGTATCTAGTTATGTGCATCACACAATGTATCTACTAGTCCACAAGGCATCTCTTCAGATATTTCAACTCATGCTTCAATTCTATACAGACTTCTTCAGCCCTGCAGTGTATGTCCTGCATTTCAGCCAGATGCTGCTTAATGTCCTTCAACTTTGTCTCCAGTCTCACACATACCCTCTTGTCTAGCAGCTTGTTGACCCAGCAAGATGACTGCTTATCCAAAGTGATAACTTCATTAGAGAAGTCAGAATATTGAGACTCTGAGTCAGATTCATCATCAGAGTACAGATCTTGCACCTCTTTCTTAACAACTGAGCCATGTATTTGTGACTGTAGAATTGAAACATAAGGAAACAAGAGCTTACCATTGCTATACCTGTTCTGGCAGGCTATACATGCTTCACCCATCATGGATTGACATCTTATGTTCCTGCTTGTGCAGTATTCATAGCCTGGATATCTTATGCCAACCACCCTCATGATAGCAAAAATATATGGCTTAGGGCCTACAATTACAATTTGTGATTAATGTTAGAGGATAGAATGTCAGAGGTGCAGCAATTGCTTACCTGGCAACAACGAATACTACTTATAGTATCTCTTATATGATAATTCAGGATAAGACACATAGCATGGTTTGTTCTCAGCCATGTATAATTTATACCTGGGGGCTCTCCATGTTAATGAAGTGATTTGACTCATAGATGAATGCTAGGAAAGGATGAGTTGAAATGTTATGTGACAGAGATAGAAAATAATAATATAGTTCTTGAATGCCCAAATAGGCCAGACAATACTAAATGTCTACTCAGCAGTTATTCCAAAATAGGTGGATCATGAGTGGTCAGCCACAGATGCTCAGATGTCACAATCACTGTGGGAATACTTGGTGCCTATAGTAGAGAAAGGTGACTATTTGACCCTCAATCCAGAGGTGGGCTAAGTAAGCAATATGTGTGAGGGTGGAATGGCTGTCCTAGCACCTAACCCAATATAATAACCATGTCTGAATACTAGTCATTTGAATCTGTGTTGGATCTGAATATTAGAGTGAGCTTGTTCTAATCTGCTTCTGATCAATTATTAGGAAATTAAGATATAATGTCTATGATGCTTCTGAGGATTGCTGTTCCTCATGGCATGCTACCCTGGGTAGTAATTGATCACTCCTGGGCCCTTGCTCACCTCCCTTACCTCCTTTCAGCACTAATATTTGCAACTATTCAATGTTGCCCCAGTAGTGTAGTAGCAAATGTGGTTTAAAGTGCTGGAGCAATATATCAGGACAGTCAAGAGCAGATGATTGAACCTTATCATGCCCTACCAGTTACCATTATTTACTTACTGGAGACCATGGGCTGTCACAGTGTTATGAGTATTTTTTAAATGGTTTATGATAAGAAGCATCAAAGGACATGAGCAATACATTTTGATCTACAAAGAATGAACATATCATTATCCTTGTGCAGCCTGTAGACCAGTAAATTGGAGTCTTCCCAGAGTATCATAAGAATTAACTAGGACACCTTCTAATCTCACACTGTTACAGTAACATCTGCTTGTTTAGCCTATATTCATTTTCCTCGCTCACACCCTCACTGGACTCTTTCCTCTTCTGGTGATCACCCCTTTTCTCTTTCTCTTGATCATTCTACCAACCATTCTGTTGGTTATACCTTATCCTTGGTTCATCTAATGACTCACCGATCCTATGCCCTTACTGCTTAACTGGTACTTCTTACTTACTATGGTATTCTGACTTGTCATGACTCACCATGACTCACATCCCCTTTACCCTTACCACTCAACTGGTACTTTCTACTTACTTTGGTATCTTGACTCATTGTGACTTGTTTACCATTTACCCTTACCACTAATATGGCAGACCTGCCCTGATCCCTTCCAACAGTATATATACCTTATGGGTAGCACTTGTATTCTCTAACTTGAATCTACTTGGTTCATACCGCCTACTCCTTGAGCCCTAAGTAAGCTCTCCTCTTTATCAAGTACCTTCATTGAAGCTCGTTGCTGCCAACATCCTTAGCCTTGAAAAGAGAACAATTGACAACCTTACCATCATAATTGTTGATAATTGATTATAGCACTTGCAGCTTAGATCAATTGCTGGTTGCAGCAGGCTTGGTGCAAGCCCCAATCCAAGTTCTATGTTACTGACTTGCTTCATTTGCTTGCTACAGACTTAGCCTGACTGTAACACACACCAGTCATCAAACCAATGTGTCCAGGGATAGTATATGTATGGAAGTATGAACAAAAACACCAGCACTGACAATGAGATCAGGAGCTATATCCAACTACTTATCTTATCAAATGAAAGTTCTCAGCAAGACCTGCAAATACTTGTTGAGGCATGAGGTTCACACAAGATAACTCAACAGTGCTTGATTCACCTGACCTACTCTAGATGTGTAGGTGTAGGAATCACTGGGTTGTGATGAACGAGGCGATAGCTCCACCCTTAAGAAGGTGGCCCATACAGTTGGTTGCAAAGCACAGCCATCAGTGATGTCAAGAGATGATTAGAGTGGTCATACCTTAAAGGAGTCATCATCCTTCAATCTCGGGGCATGCTATAAAACGGCAGATGGTCAGTGCTGGCAGAGTTTGTGACATGAGAATGACTGACTGGCTAATAGATGACCTCTATGGTGTGGAGAAACATAGCTTGAGACAGGGTGATATGAGATTAAATTCATTATACATTGCATTACTATCCTGTGATGCTTGTTGGGTAGGGTTAGGCTCCTATGTCCTGTTATGAATACAAAGTAATCGAAAGAAATACTGTCAAACCTATCCACACTGACTTCAGTGACTATCTAGTGGGACACAGTTGCTGGCATAAATGCAAGAGGCATGGTCTGCACAACCTCAGTTCTTCTATCTTCTGCTATAGTAAAAGGAGTTATGATAGCCTCCATGGCAAATTTTTGTACTAGGCTGTCTGGATGACATATATCACAAGAGATGCCATGAGGCTCTTCAGTGCAATGAGTTGAAAGATTGATGACATTCTTGACCATGGATAACCTCATCCAATGCTTCCAGGCAGTATTCCTTCTTTGTCTTCTATCTACAAAAAGATATGATTCTGTCAGCATCAGTGACAAAACTATGTGAGACTCTTTTCCATCTTGACCTGCATGACTCATCATTTGGTTGTTGACCACAAGTCCATATACTGACCTGAAGATCACCATGTATCAGATATTGGATCTGCCCATGCCCTGTGTGAAAGCTGTGATACATACCATTACCTTTGACTCTCCTCAGTTCCATAGGTCAATGTTGTATGCCTTGGTGCTTCCATGCTCCCATAGCTTGCTATGGTAGCTGGTACACCTGGCTTGGTATGCAAATAATTCAGTGTCACCTTGTGAGCTGAATAATATGAGCATGCATTCTTCATTGAGCAGACATTCTTTTAAAGCATGAACTAGGCCCTGTAAAGACTGCTGTGCTATAATATCAACTTAGACTTGTCCAATCTTCTTCCGGACTTCAGTCTATCTGAGTTGTCCTTTTCCATAAGGCCTAGGGATAGATTCCCTAGGTTGGAAATCCTAACCTTTGGATTTGTCCCCTATGTCTCTGTCCCAAGTCTAGGAATTGCTTCCCTAGGCTAGAGTATTGCCTTTTTGGCACTTACCCTTTCTCTGGACTTTGGTCCACCTTTTGTCTCTCTGACTCTACCTTAGGGTAGTCTACCTCTGTTTGCTTCTACATCGGACTTTGTCTGATGTAGCCCCTATTCCTTCTGGACATCCTGACTTCTGTACATTTGGATGTCCTGTTTTTCATACCTCCAGACATCCTATCCTCCATACTTCTGGACCTCCAGACCTCCAGACCTCCTATCCTCCAGACCTCCTACCCTTCTATCCTATTTCCACTAGAGGTATTACCTTGGTGTCTCTCCACTTCTTGTGCAGTAGGAACTTCTCTGAGTATTTCATGTACTCCTCTGGCACTCTCCCACACACCTCTGGAAGTCCTTCTATACTCCAATAAGAGTAGCCCCTGCAAGTCCTTCAGACTTTGTCAGACCATCATCAGACTTCATCTGAAATGAAGGGCACATACTTGGATAAGGGGCACAGCATACGAGCTGAGGCCAAGTCCCTCTGAGTTAGCTTTCCCCCCCCTTAAGCATGGTTCTTAACAATGGCAATTGATAACATCATGAAATTTGTCTATATAGACTGTGCTAAACTTTTCCCAAGGGGGGACACCAAGAGACTGTTAAGAATAGATTAGAGGCTGCAGAAGGTGAGACTGGTCTTCATCCCTAGCAAATGCCTTGGATGCACAATGTTCTATCTAAATGAACAGTATCTAAACATTGTCTGGCACACCTTTGGAGTGAGAGTAACTGTGACAATGAAGACCAGTAGCAGTGGTCTTGGCATACTGTTCTTTGAGTGGTATAATGAAAGGGCACATCACAATGTATTTTAAATTATCATCCAGCACTAAAGGAAGTTGATGAAAACCAAAGTTGTACTTTATGGGAATCTATAGAATTACATAATTTCTATAGCAGTCTATATACTGTTATAGCTGGTCATAGACTGTATAGAGAAGGGTCTTCTATATAGAGATGCAGTTTTTCCTGATGGTCCATCAGGTCAGCCACAAAAATGCACTTTGCCTTGATCAGCTTCATCATGCAATGCACTTTTGGAGCCTTTCTCTGACTCTCTGCCCCCTGTCCAACACAGTTGATCCTGTAAAATGAAGGATTTGTGGTGAATATTATGGCATCATGCCTCTGCATCCACACTCTTATGCTGCTCACACAGAGACAGTGCAGGTCCAAAAATACCTTGCATAACCCTGGCTTAAGCACTGCCTGCTGATCCACTTCCATTAACTTCATCATCCTGTGAAACTCTATAATATACCCATCTCCCTCCCACAGTGTGGACCACTGAGTGTTATTTTTATGTGATGTATCAGGGTCAGGAAATAATAATGAGCACCTGTCCACAAATGTTCTTAACCTAGGACCCATGCAACCTGGAGTTACACCTGTACTGTTATGCAGCCCAGCATTGCATGCTTCAAATGCTACTGCAGCAAGGGTGTCATTGATGCTAGTGATTGTCCAACACTTCATGGCCTCCTGAAGTGAATTCAGGTGGGGTCTGATGCCTTTAAAGACTTCAGGTGTGAGCATCAGCCACATGTGCCTTGTGAATATTACAATCAAATGCCTAACAGAAAGTGGACTATTGTATAACTTGGGTAACCATGTCCATAGTCTCATGACCATTGTAGGTAAGTTTGAAATGGCTGCTCTAAGTTGTGTTCATATTGGTGTCTGACCAAGGGGATAGTCCTCCAGTTCTGACTCATGACTTTGCCATCCATCCATTTTTCCTATCACTTTATCCCATTGAGCCTTTGCATTGATGCCCATGAGGGCTAATACATTCATGTCATTAATTTGCTGCACCTCATCTAGGCAGGTGTCACTGTCAAGGTTGAAATCTAGTAAGAAAAACTTCCCTGCTGTCTTAAGGACATTTCTATATTAAAGGAGGGTGAGGGATTCATGGATGTGAAAGTCATAAATGATAGGGGTTAATATAGTAGAGTGAAGCATGTGATTCAGCAAGCCAGTCAGTATGCCAAGATTTGGAGGATTCTTCTTGATGATGGATATCTGTGTCCTCTGAATCTCTCACACCTGTCACCTAAGCAGCTTAAACCAGATCCTGGATAGGATCCACAGGATTGGATCTGACTGCAGATATTCTTCAGCCTGCATAACTGTTAAGGTCGCACTCAAGGACTAAACAGATCCTAAGGGCTTCAGCCTCAGCTCATGCACTGTGCCCCTTATCCGAGTATTGCCCCTTATTTCAGAAGGACATGCTAACACATCCAAAGGATCAGATGAGTAGCATAGTGAATCCGGATGACCTCCAGATGTAGGATAAGTATTGTAAGGCTAACACAGATGAGTCCAGACTAGAAACTAATGGTATGGACTGTCATAGACAGAGGTGGATATGGATAGATGATAGGAATCAATCCTAAGTCTCAGAGGGTGATGAGAGTAGAGATACTTAGGTCTAGAGGACAGGAATGAGCAGAACTAAGATGATATTTGAACTCAGGTGTTACAGAGATTTACAGGAGGTTATATACTATAGGTATCTAACAGAATGATAAATCAGCAGGATCTGAGGCTATGTACAAAGCATATGGATAGTCTATTGGTAAGTAGGAATGGATGACAAATAATGAAATGGAAATGAAGCATAGGTAACAAGATTGTTCCTCCAGAAGTTCTTGACTTCTTCATCCTCAATGTCATTTTCAGTTACTCTCACTACATGTAGACCAATATATCTCCTGCATGATTTGCCGAATAGCCCATACCACATATGAGATAAGTAAAAGTCTGCCACTATCACCTCAAGCCACTCATTCAACCTGAGGGTTGCCCAGGTGTCTAACACAGCTGTCCATACAACTGGTTGGGCCATTGCACTAGCTTTGGTCATGAAGAATAAATAGGTATTTTAATGCTATGTATGATTTATTATGAACTAAGCACTCACATTGTTAAGGCTGCATACTCAAGGGGGGTCAGATCACAAGGGCTTTGCCTCAGCTTGTATGCTGTGCCTCTTTCCCAAGTATGTGTTCTTAATGTTTGGGAACTGGGCTAATTGTGGCATGGATGACCCATGTATTTGAATGCTGGATCTTCTGAGCTGGTACATCAGTCAGTAGCATTGTCACTACCTTGTTCCCTGTGCAAGAGTATAAGGGCCTGTACAGCAACAGATTATTCCCACACAACCTG